GGATCTGTATAGGCTGGACCGATGGGCTGAGGTCAACTGTATGAAGTTCAACAAGGCCAAGTGCCAGGTCCTGCACCTGGGGTGCAATAACCCCAAGCAGAGCTACACGCTGGGACATGAGTGGCTGGAAAGCTGCCTGGTGGAGAAGGACCTGGGAGTATTGGTGGATAGTTGGCTGAATATGAGCCAGCAGTGTGCTCAGGTGGCCAAGAAGGCCAACGGCATCCTGGCTTGCATAAGAAGCAGTGTGGTCAGCAGGGCTAGGGAAGTGATTGTCCCCCTGTACTCGGCTCTGGTGAGGCCACACCTCGAGTACTGTGTTCAGTTTTGGGCCCCTCGCTACAAGAAGGACATTGAGGTGCTTGAGCAAGTCCAGAGAAGGGTGATGAAGTTGGTGAGGGGTCTGGAGAACAAGTCCTACTGAGGAGAGGCTGGGGTGCTGGGTTTGTTCAGCCTGGAGAAAAGGAGGTTCGGGGGCAACCTTATCATTCTTTATAAGTACATTAAAGGAGGCTGTAGTGAGGTGGGGGTTGGTCTGTTCTCCCACATGCCTGGTGACAGGACGAGGGGGAAGGGGCTGAAGTTGTGCCAGGGGTGTTTTAGGTTGGATATTAGGAAGAACATCTTTACTGAAAGAGTTGTGAGGCATCGGAACGGGCTGCCCAGGGAAGTGGTGGAGTCACCATCCCTGGAGGTCTTTAAAAGACGTTTAGATGTAGAGCTTAGGGATATGGTTTAGCGGAGGACTTGTTAGTGTTAGGTCAGAGGTTGAACTCGATGATCTTGAGGTCTCTTCCAACCTAGACAATTCTGTGTGACTCTGTGTGTGATACCTGGGTTTGAAACTCATAAAGCATCTGTAAAAAGGGGCAGAGCCTTGGGTTTCTTGAACACGTGTCCAGCCTTACATTATTAAGCAAAAACATAGTCTTCCTAACTGTCATTTGGATTTGTTGTCCTTGTTTTTCATTAGGGAAATAATGAAGTTGTCTGACAGTTTGGGATCCAGCTAGAACTGTTTTAGTGTTCAAAAGTTATGTATTGTAGGCTGTGTGGGAAACTGGCCTGTATGAGATAAACCTGTATCTGAATTTCCCTATGTGGAAGGTGGGGAAAAAGGCACTGACTACCCTTGCAAAGGGGTTATAGGACTTACTATCAAAATAGTAATTTATTTATTAATTTATTATTTATTTATTTATTTATTACCACCATTATTATTTGAATTAATACAGCAATAACTAGAAGGCAAGAACATCAATGACAGCTAAGCAGAGTTTTAGTTAAGATGTGGTGTGAAGATCCAGGCTGACATTTTCTGTGCTTTATAAGCTCATTTATTACCTATGCTATTTCTTGTGAGAACCAAAGCAAAGTGGGAAAGGAGTTTGCAGCAATCAAACTTGAAGAAAAAGGCTCCTCATGAACATAATGAAATTTTATGAATGTTGATATAAGAAGAAGCAGTGAAGCTCCAGAGAAAGGAGCTCTGTGAGAAAGGGATCATTAGAAGACAGACTACAAACAAATTGTGAGTACCTGAAAACATCAAGTTCTGCATAATATATTTTTATTTCCACTAAAAAATGAACTCATATCTGACCATACTATCAGAATTACATTTTATAAGCTCACATTGTAAGCAAAGCATAAGAATGAAAGAAGGAGATGTCTTCTTTCACTCATTTTCTCTCTGCAATTTATGAATTGAGTTTTTGAGACACTATTATCACCTCAATAATAATACTGTGACATTTCAGGCTTTCACAAAAATTTAGAGGTCTTGTTTACTTCCACACAGGGATAACAAAGTTTCTAAAAGCCTCAATTTCTACTTGAGGCTGGGCATGAAAACTTTAAAAGAGAGGGGTCCTGTTTCTCTCTCAGGATGCAGGCTAGACCTCTCTGATCTGATGTATCCCTGCCATGGGGAGCACTGGGAGAGTCTGGTGAAAGCTTCTTGATGCCTATGCTAAGCATGATCCTTCATGGGGATATGAAGACATAGCTCCCTCTTTATCCTGAATAGCTCTGGACAGATTTTTCATAAAATGGTTTGAAGTGTGACTGTGCCAGACCCTTGTGTCTAACAATTATGTTTGTTTAAGCAAGACTTCTGAGTTTGTGACAATGGAATTATCTATTTTTCAGGACAATTAACACAATGTTTTTGTACTAGCTGAAGGTCAGAGGATTAATGTGGTTTTATCTACAGTGCATTTTTAAAAGGTAATTAAGAATCGTTCAGTGCATTCTGTACTAAAAACTGAGAACATTTCATATTAAATGACTCTTGCTCCTCTGCAGCAGCAGAAAGAGATGGAGAGAGAGGAATGGAGGAAGAAAGGCAATGAGAAAAGTGAGCTGGCATGCAAATAAACGAATACATCACACAGATGCAGCTAATGCAGAGCAATAAAGAAATCCACTCTGGTAACACTAGAAAGAAAATCATCTCTTGGACAAAAGGGCTAATCTAAAACATTAATCAGCAAAAATATTCAGCATTTGCAGGAGAGTGATGGAGCATTCCTTGTTACAGGAAGAGAGATGGAAAGGAATAGAGGGAAGTGCTGCTCTGAGAGCATTTTGTGGAGATGTTTTTACCACCCACTGCTTATGGAGCATCTCCTCCTTTCTCTCATTTGCACCTGACAATCTGTACATGCCACTGTAGGGAAAGCCTTCCTAATGGGCCTCCAGTAGGAAGTGAGTCTTCTGAGAGGTTGTGCATAAAGGTGAGGAGCAGAAGTGGGACTTGGGACCAGGAGGGCAGCTTCTGGCAGCAGGAACTGCCCCCTAGCACAGGGACAGGTATGGTGATAGCAAGGAGGCAGCATCCTTCTCAGCTTTGGGGATTTCAGTGACTGGGGGGAGCAAAACAAGACACAAAACCAGAGACATTCAGAGCTAATACAAGGATCTGAAAACCACAGCAAGGAGTTTATTTTTAATGCAGTGGCCAATGCATAGCCCTTTAATGGGAAAAAAGTAAGAATATGGGAAGCTGTTCCTACACTTTTGCTTTTGGATGTTTATCTATGCTGCTGATTAAATGCTCCAAGGTTCATTTTTCGTGTCTGCCCAAAGCACATAAATACTATCAGATGCTGAGGCACCTCCTTTCAAAACTGGGCTATGCACTACTATTCTGTTGATCAAATGTGGCAATTATTTCAGGCTTAAAACCTTTTAGGGATAACAATATGTGCTGCCAATCAAAGCTAGAAAGTACACATGCATTCAAAGAGCAAGCTGAGTGAGGAATAACAGCAACATGTGTAGCAAGAATATATTATGGATTACAATCCTTTTACACAAAGGCTAGTAAACTCTTCAAAATGCAGCAACCTACAGGCTAATAAAAGGGACAGAAATGTGTGGATATCTCGGTTTGTCTAATTTGTGTCTTTCTAGCATTGGTAGGCTGACTCACTGGATTTAGCAATAGCTTGTGAAGATGAACATATTAATAACTTTATGCTGCAGCTCTGGCATAAAATGTAATCTTTTAAAATTCCATATTCTCAAAAGAAATACAAGCTTAGAACCAGAATAAAGTTAGAAGACATATTTGAATTGTCATTCCTATTTTCTTTTTAAATCTGTGTTATACATTTAAATATGCAACTTGAGAAAGACAATTCCCCTCCATTGTTATCACTCCCCAGTGTGCCACTCCCTACCATTGAAGCATACTTAAATATGTGGCTGCCAATACAGTGCCCCAAAGTATTCTGTGTCATTCTGTGTATTTTTATATTGTATCAAACATAAATTAACATTTTTTCTTCTCATCCTGTAAACACTTAAACAGGAAAGCTTATGTAGGCCATGTATTATTAAATGTCAAAGAAAGCAGATGCATATTCATATTTGCATATGTAATCCACAGTATTAGTAAACAATAGGTTATATATTGCTTTGACTTTTGATAGAATTTGATAAAATTTGACAGATTCGAATAATTAGATAGCAGAGCACAAGGCTTACCTTGAGAACATAGTAACTGTAGCCCTGAATCTTTCAATTCTAATTTAAACCTTACTTCAGGGCTTTAGGCATTACTCTAGCCTACAGAAACGCTTATTTGAGTACTTGATGACCTCCAGAAGATTATACAGAAAGTTTCTGACAAACCAGCAAGTAGAACCATTGTATTTAGGTATTAAAATGATGACCTAAACCACTAGACTGACCCTTTTGTTTCTCCTTGATTTTAATGAGACTTGATTTTAATGAGACAGTCACAGGCTGTGACACTTACAGGAGATATGTTTGCATTTGTACATTAAACCTACTTGAAAATTTATTGAAATAACAGAAAAGACAAATTGCAACAATCTTAATGTAGACAAGAACCAAATGTTAATATATAGTTTTATTGAAAAACACTTATTTTAATGTTAAATAGCATAAAACACAATGGGTTAGTATAAGGGCATCACTAATTTTAATTTTAACTTAAAAATATATATATTCTGAGTGTTGAGAAAATCTTAGTAAAATAATCACCTATTTTTTATCAAGGGATTTGATATGTAGATGTATTACTATGTTACTATTTATTAAAGTGAGATGAATTTGTGAAAAAAAATCATGCAAAGTTCGATGTACTCCATGCAGTCTCTTATGTATGCACTCTTTGAAACTTCTTATGCTTTTTTTTTCATGACAGAAAGCATTTTACAATATTTTTTGTAAAAATCCTAAGCTCATAAAACTGATAAAATGATGTGTATCATTTATATATACATATATACATATATAGAATATCTATAAATACTGTATATATTATATATAATGTAAATACAGTATATATATATTTAAAACAGACTGTGATATAAATGTATATATCTTTTGACATTATTTGATTATAATTGAATTCTTAATTGATAATGAATTTTATGCATCCCTATCTCAAATGTTTAAAGCCTGAAAGTGCTTACACTAAACAGTCAGATATCTATTGCAGAGAAAGGAAGACTTCATTTTCTTACCTGCTTTTTTAATTTCAGGGACAGCTGTCTTCTCATGAGCTTTCTCTTTTTTTCCTTCTTTTTCTGAGATTTAATTAAAGAAAGTCATTTGATATGCTATAACTCTGAATCATACACTCAAATATGCATTCAGCCAAGCCCTGATGGGCACATGTTGAAAAAAGTGACTTATTTGGTAGTTTAGTTCAGATTATTCACTTATAGCACTCGCACTGAACTAGCCACAGAGCAATCAGCTGAAAATGAAAATTAATCAGCATGCATCAACTATGAATGATTTGGACCCTTAATAATTCATCAAAAGCTAGGCAAAAATCATCAGTGCATGAACATGGTACCTTTTAGCTTAAGCTCTAGTAGCAAAGAAATCATTAATAAATAATAAATGACATAAATATTTTCCCATGAAAGCAAACCCCTAGTGGATTTTTGATACTTCATGGGAATGAATGATCCAAAATGTTATTTAGATGCATATCAAGGCTTTGCAGTTTGATCACTGTAAGTTTCGGTTATGATTCTTAAAAAAAAAAAAAAAAAAGAAAAAGACATAAATAAAAACCACTCTAAGAAAGTGGCACACAGTGAACCAAGTGATATGTTGCTATGTCTGTGAGTTTTGTGTTTGGTGATATCACCATGTTCTGCTGTTTATAGGGACCTCACTAAATTGTCTGACAAGCTGATAGCTGGCCACCAGACAGTATTGTGTGAAGTCAGAAAAATTTTTCAGAAAATAGCCACTAAACACATCAGGCATCAGGTACAGAAGAAACAGTAACATGCAAATTATGATTAAGGAACTAAGAGGACAATATAGAGACAGAAGCATGGGACTAAAAACCAACAACCAAAACCAGCCAAAACCAACCAGCCAAACAACAATAGTCTTTGAGCCAAAAATTGGAATAAGACCAACAAGAAATGTTCCCAAACCATACCTTTCTTCTTAGTTTCAGTAACAGACCTCTTTATATCAGTCCTTTTCTTTTCATCCTTTCTTTCTAAAGAAGGAAAGAGAAGTTCAACTATTTTCATATATATGTATGCATGTCTGAACATGGTGATATTGCATATATATATATATGTAAATACATATTTCAGATAGGAATTCTTGGCTAACTGTAGTAAGTTTGACATCTGATAAATTATTCACTTATTTCATATATATAGTCACTTATTTTATATCAGTATCTCAGAAATACAGCTTAATACACAAAGTAAATATGGAGGTAAGATTAGAACAGGAACCAGTACCTACAACATATCATTACTGTTGCAAGTACTATTCAAGAAATTATGCACATTAACATGGTACAACTAGAAGTTTATCGTGATGATTCAGTGTCCATGCCCCTGTTCTGCATGAGTGCTTCTATATAAAATATGCCTTAATAGCAGCAAAACTTGTAAGTGATAATACGGAATAGCATAACATAATGTTATGAAATGTCTGCATATATAATAAATATACCTTTATAACTTTTTTAATGAATTTGACCTTTGAAACAGTCATTACAGGATTTCTGTTATTCATGGAGAAATGCCATTAAACCGTCATCTATGAAGGAAAAAAATTCTGCCTCTATTTTGTCAATTAATTTAATTAAAAAAAAAACAAAAAACTTATTTTTCATTCTGGAAATTAATCCCCATTTAGATGGAGAAGAATACACAAGTACCAGAATAGCAAATCTTCTTTGCTATTATTTGCTTAAAAAAAAAAAACACACAACTTATCAACAAAAAGGCAAATTTGTCATCTTCAGATTGTGTGTTTTGGGTTTTGGGTGTTGATGAAGGTAATGTAACTATAAGAGTATGTTTTGTTTTTTTTTTTGGTGATGCTTTATTCTGGATTTATTTGGACAAAAAAAAAAACAAACACAAAAACAAACAAAAAAAAAACACCAAAAACAAACAAATAAACAACAAAAAAAAACACCACAGATTTTATTATTGTATGAAATGTCACAAACACGGGAGCATAAGCCTTCAAGAAAATTATTTAATTATTGAAAATTATTTAAGATATAGGAATGTTTCCAGAAGCCAGCAGATCCTAGAAGTAATTATGTTACTATCCCTTGCATATATTAACATAAAGATCAAAGAAAAATGAAGAAACTTACTTTTCACTTCCTTAGCTACCACAATAGACTTCTCTTCTGCATGAAAAAATATATACAGAGAATTAAAAAAAAAAAAAAGTACAGCACAACATACTTCCTAAACCAAAACAAAATATGTGAATATGTGTATACTTGATGCAAAAAAATCATATTTTTATAGAGTACATGAATTCCACAGTCTGTCCATGGTGTTTTCATATAAAAGTTATTTTGCCTATCATGGAATGTGTTTACCAACATTCAGGGTCTCCTTAGACCATACTTCTACTGATTTTTAATGGTACTGTTTAAAGCTAAGCATCATCTTACCATTTCCTTCTTGTTTTAAATATATTTGCTCAATGTTTTTCCCTTGTTATTTTTTTTGACAAAATGAATCAGAAAACCATTTGGTTGTCCAAGTGTTTTGTGTACTTAATTCTCTGTGTTGAAACTTTGAGCATGCTTTGTGATATCCAAGTTTCTTAACCACATGTAGTGTCAGAAGATTCTTTTGTGATATATTAAAAGCATATTTTAATACTCTCGTTGTTTAGCTCTTGGGTTCCCTCGTGAGAGTCTCTGTCTCTCTCTCTTTTTGAGAATCTGTTCATAAACTCTTACTAGGGAACATGGCCATCTCCTCAAGATCTAAGAATCCTTAACCTTAGATTACACATAAACTGTTCCACAGCTCCATTTTCCTGTGCTATGACTTTCATGACTTTTCAGCATTTCATTTCTATATGTAATCAACATATTTCCATCTTTCCACTAACTTTTACTCCTAATAGCTTGAGACTGAAATGCTGCTAGTATTTCGGTGATCTCTCTTTCTGATTTATTTATTTATTTATTTATTTATTTATTTATTTATTTATTTATTTACTGAGAGAGAGAGAGAGAGAGAGAGGGAGAGCCTCAGTTCTGGAAAGGCTGTTAACTACTCCAGTCTTCCAGTTAGATTAATTGTTTTTGCTTCCATACATTTCTGGTGCCAGGTGATGCATAGGAATCATTATATGCCCAAGGTCCTTACAAACAAAAAGATTATTTTTAATTAGAAACTATTTCTGCCTTTGTGCACCATGTCAGAATCTTCTGGTGGCCAGCTTTGTCACATAAAATATGCTCCAAATATCACAGCAAGGTTCAGAGACGTACCTGTCCTGAGAGCCGTGAACTGAGACATAGGTGACTTTAGTGGAACTTTGCATGGAGCACATATGGAAGGTAGCAGGAATTTTTACTGCAATTAACTTAAAGTACAAAGAGAATATATCCCTGGCTGCAGAGGTTTTATTGCTAAGTCTGTCCACCAATTAATTCCACTGACATAATTTTCTAACATCAGAGTCTTGAGTTGAAATATTCCCAGAGGGCCTAGAGACAGCTGTATTTGTTATGAAATTTCTAGAGGACGTTTACAGAGAAGTATAAAGGACTGTGGGCCCTATTTGCTGTTAGTGCTGCCCAATTCAATATATACAATCTTGGTCAAGTCTCAGGAAAAGCAGTCACAAGGCTTCCATCCAAATCTCAGTTGCATGTAGCCCCATGGATGCACCTACTGTACAGAAATACACACACTACTGAAAGAAGTTTATGTAAATGACATGATAAACTTGATAAATTATGGGAATAATTTATGGTATTATGGGAAGAGTTATTTGTGATTTAAGGAAGCAGTTCCATTTCTTGAATAAATTTATTTCCTGTAACCTGAGTAGTTCACATTTAGATTGTGGCATATTTAAGTGTATATTTAACACCAGAAAAATTGTCATTTCTGAAACAGTAAATGCAGTAGCTTACCGTTAGATATATACATAGCTAAATTAAGAGGTAAAGCAAATAAATAAATAGGAGATTAGACAGGTCTTTTGCATTGTAAAACTATGAACCCCATCTGTTAATTTATGGTACTTTTTTTTTTTTCTTTTTTCCACCAGGAACTCCAGTCCAAAACCATGTCTTAATGCATAGGGTGTAAGAGATATACAAATAAAAAGACTTCCCCTTCAAAAACCTGTAATACCTTTACAAGAATGAAATGGTAGAGTATAAAGTAACAGACTCAGTCAGTAAATCAAGCAATAGACGTTGCATTTAGTCAACTTATTCTGTCAGAAGTGGAGTTTTATTTAGAACAAGGAGGAAATTAAGGACTATGAAAAGGTTAAGTTAAAGCAGTGTTGTGCTACAAAATGGGAAATTCTTTTATGGTTTTTTTTTTTTTTTTTTTTTTTTTGACTGGGAAAAGAGTAAAACAAACAAATGCATATAGTTTTCCTAAGAAATGACAGGAGCAAAGTGGCCAGCCCTAAAGCAAAGAAGCACGTGAGATGGAATTATTTATTTCTCAGTAAGTGACAAGGGCCTCAGGACATTGGTTAAAATCCAAGTGAGATTCAAAAGAGCTCAAGAAAGAGGCGTTTCAAGCCAAATTACCTTTAACAGTTTTGTTAATGTCTTTTGCCTTGTGGGAAGTCAACTAATGCTTAGCCAACAGCGGGAGGGGAGATAACAAAAACATGCTAACAACGCACCACTTGAAAGCAGACATGGCAAGACCAGTGTCTTACAGTGGCAGCACTGAGGGGAATCTAAATTTAGGGATACATGTGAGTTGCTAGGCATAGTGTCATGGGAATGCTGCCCAGGGACTTGAAGACAATGGTGCTGTGAGATTTTCCTCTCCATATCGTTCCAGATGCTTCATATACTTACGGGGACACTGACTCTGGAAGTACTTGTCAGCGCATCCCACCCACTGAGAAGCAGAGGTAAGGAGGGTAGCAAAATGCAGTCACGGATACCTTCTTGTGGAGAGGCTTGGGTATAACAAAAACTAACTAGTGGGGCTGAATGCCAGACATTTGGAGATGTTTTTGTTCAAATAAGCCCTCTAAAGTTCAGACATGTATACAAGTTTTATCTGTATTTATCTAAAACCCTGTTGTCAGGAAATCTTGGGAGAAAAGCTCTTGTGAGAGACTTTTGATATTGCCTACAACAGTTTTTCTTGACTGCTAATTCTGGTCTTGGCAGAAAAGAGGAATAGCAGTGTACTCACACACATATAAAACAGTTCAAAGTGAGTTGATTTACTTTTCTCAGTGATACTGTGTTTCAGACTGGATGCAATAGGTAAAACTTCATTCAATTTTTCTGCAAACTTGAAGCTGTTATAATTTCAAATCACCATTAAAACAAACAAACAAACAAACAAAAAAGCTATATTTTATTTCCTATTAGTTTTAAGATGTAAGTTGTTCTTCCTTTGTTTTAATTGGTGACTGACAACCTTTCTCTGCTGAACTCAGTGAAAGCTTTATTCTTGATTTCATTACATTTACATTTTTGATGACATTTCTCTCCCTTCTGCATTTTGCTTCATTTTCACACAAGACCCTTTTACTAACCATAATACTTAAAATAAATTTTTGGAAATATTGGGAAATATTTCCCAATAAATAAATAAGGGAAAAATAAGGGAAATATTTCTACTTGGTTCAGGATGTCAAAGTATTTAAAAAATTTCAACTACGTCTAAATTTCTGGTCAAAATTGACTTCAGATATTTCTGAAAAATCCCTTACTTGGGTAAGAGTGTCCTTGTTGGCCCAATTGTTTTCTTTGTGAGAAACAATTTTGTCTTGTCTCATCCATACTACTGAAAAGTCAATAAAAATCAAAGAATCCTAAAACTTATTAATATAGATTTCTTATAATTAATTCTTCTCACAGGCATACTCACACACATATACACACTTGCACGTTCTTCCTAAATTATAGATGTGTATTTTGGTCAAAATTGTGTATTTTTTCAGCTATGTTCCATTTTTAACTTTGCATTTCAGCAGATTAACGCAATATAATTTATTCTCTTACTGAGCAAATTAAAGACTAATTGGGCACACAGGTCATTGGAGATATAGTACACCATGATATCCTAGGCAGTATCTACAGCCTGATTTTGCTTATTGAAACCATTTCACTGTTTTTAAATCCTAATCTGAAACAGTATCAATATCATGCTTGAGATTCATGGTGCTTTCATATGACCTTAACAAGTATTTCTCATTTCTTCCTGGAATTATTACAGGATCCATTTTCATAGATCCATTGAATTAAGCATCAGAACTGTTTGCTAATAGCAGGGGGCCATATGTTGCCCTTGCTAAACAACACAGTAGGGAGCAAAGGAGTACAAATACCAGTGTAACAAAGCCAGAAAATGCATGCCAATGGGAAAAAGAGATGGTATGCCAACACTCATGACATGACAGGGCAGTAGGAAATCCATTGTATAACAGCTAATGGCAAATATGATGCAAATATGATTGTGATAAAGAATTAAATTCCCAGGGGAACACTGACACGTTATGGTACTACCTTCCTTTGCAAGATCCAAACTAATGGAGGCGAGGCAGCAGCGTTAGCCTTCTCTGTATTTGTTAACACTAGGCAACATGAATTGACAACAGCACCAATTGTGTCACCTGTGCTGGGAAGGGTTTTGATCATGCCTATTATGGCACATGCTTTTGAGCAAGAATGTCTGAGGTTTAGGAAGAAGAGATGACCAGGCTATATATGACCTCTTCTTCAGGGATTTGCCTCATGGAATTTCAGCATTTGAAAGACTGGAGAATATTAATCCATGTAAGTATTCTCCATTTGCAGGTTCATCAGATGCAAAAGGTTATTGCTCACCTGTAGTACATAATAAAAAAACAACAAACAAACAAACAAAAAAACTCAAACTTAAATTATATTCAGTTATTTGGTTTTGTTTTATTGGGAAGATTTTGATAAATGTTTATTTTAAACTTCACAAACCAATATAGTAAAGTGGATAAATAATAATAAAAATGAGAGAGTATAGTAATATATTTAATCAAAATATATGTAGCTTTATACTTTAATTCACTTTCAACATTCTGCTAAACACTTTTTAGTGACTTTAATTTTTCTGTCTTATGCTAGAATAAAAGAGCCTCATGTTATTAAGTAAAATGTCAAGGGCTTTCTGAAACCATGTGGATTTAGGCTTTTTTCATCACAGCTAAATCATTAGAGTTTACTTCTTAAATGTCTAATCTAAATCATTAAATAAATCACTTTGAAATCTTGTGTAGATGATTTCATAGCTTTTACTGTCTTTAGTACAGACTCATGGAAGTGTCTGACCCACATTTCCACAAATAAACAAAAACAAACCAACCCAACCAACCAACCCACCAAAACCCAACCAAACTTGCTTTCACTGTTATTTGTAGAGTACCCCTTTTTTTTTTTTTTTTTTTTTTTTCCCCTAGCAGGTTTGTTTAAAAACTAACTGTATTATGATATTTCTCACATAAACATTTTTCTTATTTATTTACCTTTGGATTAAAATTTATGAGACAATGAACTGTCATCAACAAATAATGTCAGCATTATTAAAAATGCTCCAGACAAGTAGAAACATTCAAAATTCTACATATTTGCGAGGTTTCTAGTGTATCTTGAATTACTGTCTTTCATTTAAGTTTTTTTTTGTTGTTGTTGTTTGTTTGTTTGTTTTAGGGTAATTGATTTTATAACATAAAAAGCCAGATATTTTATAGAATAATCGGTGTACAGAAGAGCAGGTCATTGACAGGCAGTACAGAGGCAGAAGCAGATTGATTTGTACAAGATTTATACAAGATTCTATACATCAAGGAAGCTTTGACAAAATGTGTATTGGCTTTAGTAATTTACATACTCTTGGTTATATCCCCTAATGTTATATTCACAAACTGAGATATAGACTAGATTTTTTCCTAAGAGTCAGATAGTGTACATTCTATACAGCATCAAAGTTAGATGCAGGTTTATATTTCAATGAGAATTTAACCTCCACAGGGATTGTGGAGGCAGTTAAAGATATGTATTCCACAGTAATTCAATGTACTGCATTCTGCAAAACTGTAATTGGAGAATTCAAACAGTTATCTACAGAAAATCTTTCTCTCTCTCTCTCTCTCTCTCTCTTTTTTTTTTTTTTCATCACAAAACCTCCACAGATGTTTCAATATGTTTCCCTTTTTTCTTCATTTAATATCACAAATAATAGAAATATGGAAAAGAAAAGGCAGTCAATGGAGGGAGGTGTTTCAAAAGCTATCACGATCCATTAGCAGATCAGAACAATTATGTTGATCACTATTCTGTGATAAATGTTCTCCCACTCAAAGATACAAGCACAGATTTTTAGCACAATATAACCTGGAAGATCATTGTCAGATACAATGCTGTTTATTTATTTATTTAATTATTTATTTACTTATTTATTTACCTATTTATTTTTGGTTTTGGTGGTACACAATGCTCTTCAATGTACTTCTGTGTTACGAAACATGCTGTCTGAGTTCATAGGTAACATGCATTAAGATGCCTTCCACTGAGAGAAGGATTTAGATACAGGCTTCTCACAAGGATACTCTGATCTCATGAAAACGCAGGAATGCTTTTATGTAACAATTAATATGATGCTTTACCAATAACTAACTACATTTCTGAGCTTAGTTTTACATTTCTAATCTAACTGCATCATCTTCTTTAGAGATTGCCCAGCCATGCCTGAGAACACAGCAGGGGAGGACTGTCAGAATAGGAAATTATTTCTCAGGCAAATGGGGAAATGGAGGAAGCTAAAACCTGTGTGAATTGAGAAAAAAAGTCAAGACCTGAGAGAGCAGACACATGGAAAACCAATGTTTTCTGCAGAGCAGCACTAGGATGTCAGTGCTGCAAAACACATGAAAGCAAGAGTTAAAAGAAGACAACAATCAAGGAAGATGACCATTGCAGACAAAAATTCAGAGCCAAGGAAAACAGATCTGTTCAAATTACAGCCAGCACCAGCATCCTACCTAGATGGCAGTGTCACAGTGTCAGCCAATATGAGAGTGCTACTTCCAGAAGATAAAATATAGGATGTAAAATGAGTTATTTTAATTCATGGTTGGGCAAACAAGGTTTTGATGCTTGTAAGAAAAGCAGAACTATGAATCAGTGTCTTCCTCTTCACAAATTTCCTTTCCTTATTTCTCTTGATTATTACTGTATCTTTTTGTTGTGGTTGTTTTGTTTTGGTTTGGTTTGGTTTAGTTAGATTTGTTTGGATTTGGTTTAGTTATTCTTTTCTGTTTGTAGCCTAAAGCTTCAAACTCTTCACTGAACTTTGAGTATAAGATCTGAAGACAGCATATTTATCTATTTATTGATTGTTTGATTGAAAAGGACCAAACCACCATGAAATGGAACAGAAATGATCTGGCTTCTGACTAAATGAGTACAAGGAATGTTGATTTCCTACCAGGAGACATCTGAGAAGTTCAGTTCATATGCATGCATTTCAATGCACTTTATTGCATACTACACAAAACAGGATACAGGTTAAGATTGTTTTACGTAATCACTGTCTACAAAAGACCTACAATGGAGGCAAAGGAAGAGAATGACAATGACAAGCAGAGAAAGGTCGATATTTAAAACATAACAACAAGGTGCTGATTTTCTAAGACCTTATGAATTCAGCAGAGAATGATTTCTACTGGGTATTGGATACTATCCAGGAAAAGCTTTCTATTTGAAAGTATCAAAACACCTAAAATTATGAGACATATGGTACTGCCACTACTTTCACTGTTATCAGAAAGCAATAATGGTCCAAGATTACCTAAGAAGTCAGTGGCAAAACAGGGCAGTAATTAAAAAAATAAATAAATAAATATTTTCAGCTTTTACTATCTGCATGGTTTTGTATCTAATCTCTAAATGCCACTGAGTTGGAATGCCTAAGGTGTAAATAGGTTGGTTTCATGATTTTTCTCTGTGACAACCATTCTGTTACCTCCTAAAGTTTTACCTTTTATTCAGAGTTGGTTACTTTTATCAAAGGCCAGGTCACTTCCTCCATAAAGTACATTTCTCAATCAATGAATGCTTGTACCTGTTCACTATCCTAAAAATTTATAATACTATCTTTGTATTTACAGTAAAACCGGTATCTTGTTTCAACCTGTTCCTTCTCTTGATCAGTAATAGTTAGCAATGAAAAGCAAGCATATATGTACGCAAACCTTATGAAGACACAGATAGATGTCTCTTCAGCTATTCCAGGGATTTAAGTTTCTCTGACTACTTCTCTTTCTCCCTTCTGATATTATGCCAGCTATTCTCATAAATTATTTAATTATTTTCCCAAGGGCTGAAATAAAGTTCCAGAGTTTAAGTTTCCTAAAACCTTTATATATGCTTGCTTTTCATATATGGAAACACAATAGTGAAATATAACAGCTTTTCACAACTGCATTTTCACAGTAATTCTTCCTTCTTCATTTCCTTCAAAACTCTTGCATGAGTGGTGTTGCATCCTAGTGACTGGTCTTGAGCCTTAAAGACTATTTAGTTGTATGTTTCTGAGTGCATAATCTGCCCCACAATTTGTTTGCCAAATAGGTGTTTGCCTAATTTACATTCACAATTACCTCAACTGCTTGCATAAATGAGTTAATGAAACACACAAATGTGTAACTGGTCATAAATAGTCATTTCTGTGTGCAATTGCAGTAATTGCATGCACCTCATGATTTTTAAAATCAAGAACTTAATTTTATTCTAGTTCATGTTGTATAACAGTTATATTTAAGGATTATCACTCAACAAATGCAGATGTCTTTTTCCATTATGCCTTTTTTTCATTATGGCTAATTGGTGGATAACAATGTTTAACATTTCAGGGACTTCTTTTTGCTGATAAACAGGGTTAAAACATTTGCCTTAAACAAGCAGGATGGCAAATCTATTTATATATTATGTTGTGTCAAAGTAAATACAGATTTGTACTCCTTCCAAGAATGTATCTATAAATAAATTTTATTTGAGGTAAAAGGGGAAAAGAGATAGTAAGATTCTTACCTGTTTTTATCTGGACATTCTGATTGAAAATAATCACATTTTGAAATCAAATGAATTTAACTGTTTGTTTCAGTCATAGGGTCTGCCAAAATCTCTCATTTTCCATTTTCAAGTACAGGCAAACCTCATAACATTTGTTATGCTGCTGACACCCAATATGCTTTTCTTTTAGATCACAACTGGTTTCTGAATAACATAGAACTAAGACCTCTACAAGTAAGTGCCATGGTATGACTAAACAAATTTATTATATGAAATCTGGTAAATGATTATATAAAAAGACTCATATATTTTATAATATTAAATATTATAACATAGAGACCAAGAATGTATGTTGCAGTAATGGTTTTAAGTCATCAGGTATAGTCCATTTTAAAAGTAAAATGCATATTTCAACCATTTTATTGATATGATTAGGCTGTAAACAATATAATTTGATTGCAAGGCTATGTTTTAATCTTCTGAATGTAAGCTCTGACTTCTCATTTTTGCTTTCAGTGTTTTTTTTTGCAACAGAGATAAATGTACAGCCAGAAATATTATCTTCATTATTGTAGATAATACACAGAAAAAAAACAACAACAACAATAACAAAAACACATCTGAATTACAATAGCTGAAATAGTGATCCAAAGGATTAAGAAGATAATGCTGATGTTTTACAGTTAGATGGCAATTTATAGCTAAGTTGCTATATAAGCTACACCATCCAAAGAATTTTAGAGAGGTTTTAGTCCTGCAATCTATTTCATGCAGGAAATCCACAGAGCCAACTGTGGAACTACTGAAAGGAAGATTAGTAATGCAAGTATGATTGCACCATTCATAAAACCAGCCCTAGTCATTTCATCTGTTTTGTAATATGGGTTATATTTATAAACAAAATCCATTAGAACAGAGAGTCAAGTTAATAAGTAGAAGACAATAAAAGAGGAAAAGTCTCAAACTTGCCTTCAATAGCTGCTGTTTTCTTTCTTGGACTATGTTCTAGAAGAAGACGAGGTGATACCATTCCCTTATGTCCTGCACAAGTACACAGGTTAAGAAACATGGAAAATGCATTTAATAACAGGCTGTGCACATTCAGTAGAAGGATGAACTCCCTTCAGAATTGTTTGTGTTTAAAATCTAACATTGCGTGTAAAAGCTATTATCTTCTAGACATCATAAGAAGAAAATGTATTTCTCAAAAAAATCATAATTATTTTAAAGAGATACATTTTAAATCAATAAAGACCAAGTGACTCAAGCATGTGCTGAAATGCTTACAGATCTATTTTTCTTCATTAGACTAAAAACCTCAGAAGAATAATATTGTAATAATAAAGTTACATATTCATGATGCCTCTTCTACAGTAAAAGCATATTTTCTTCTGTCAAGCAAATGATCTTCAGTTGTTCCCTCAAGTCCACTTATTATGAATTTCTTGAAATAAGTAAAAAACATTTGTTTCTTAGCCTCAAGGGTTATTCTTAATTAGCCAATACCAAGAAGGTCATGCACTGTAAACACTGACTAGCTTCTGATTCCAACTGCTGAGTGAAATACTTCAACTCTCTTGGAGTATTGAACTGTACTTGCTCACAAAATTGAACTTGGACTTCCTCTGATAAGCACATGTCCAGATACCATTCTCTATGAAAAATATTTTCACTTAATTTCCTCAAGTATTCACAAACAAATATATTATACTTTTATATTACATAGATTATTTTTTTAATGCCTATTTGCAGTCTCCTTATTTCCTTCTAATTTCCTTGTCTGCCATTTATGCTAATTAGCTCTCCTGTCATGGTCACTTGGAAAGTACAATTTCTTGGGTATCCTGTGAAATAAAATTAATTTGTGAAATATAATACAAATACCGTCATATGCACTAGCACATATTCACTGCAACTGAGCCCACATGCAATGCAAAGTTGTTAGGTTTCAGCTCCAGCTCTACAACAAAAACTGAAAGCCATGCCTCATGCTTGGTGATAGACTCAGAAGAGAAATAAATATCTTAATGATCCTTGGAAATTGCAGTATCATACTTACCCCTCTCATTTGACAAAGGTATGCTTTGTATATCCATACTCATGGGGAATGCATAGGAAAATCATCATCTTGAAGATAGCAGTGGGATTTGAGCCCTATGGTCTCAATGTTATTTCATCTCATCAGCATGTGTATGATCACAGACAAATGATTTGTAAGCACACAATTTAGTTTACCTGTTAATTGTAAAAAAATTCACACATGGAACTGCTCGAATTGACTCACATATCTGAGTCACTGGCAAAACGTTGACACATGGTGATAAAATAAATGTACTGAAGGCACTGTGCAACAAATTAAAAAAAAAAAAATCTCAGGTTTTACACCTATTTACTCTTCTGGTGGTAACCACAACAGGATATTTACCAATCTCACCACAGAATGACTCTATGTGACTGAAATGAACAATAGGCAAACTTTAGAAATCCAGATATCTAGCCATATTCTTCCAAATATTTTGTGTTTCAAACGAACATTGAATACCACTTTTTTTCGACAAGAATCTGAAAGTTATACTCATAAGTTCTGTCAACAATGAGAAGCTTCATTAATTGAATTTCTAGTTCAGAAAGAAAACCAAAACAATGTAACATTTAATGAAGAATGGGTAAATAATCTTATTCTTTCTCCTAGTTTTGATTAAAGTCAAAAAAAAAAAAAAAAAGATTATTTTTTTTCTTATTTTCTTTGCCTTTACCTAAATTAGATCACTTATACCTAGATGGAAAAAAATGATAAATTTTACAACTTGGAACAATTGTTTTGTGTTAAAGGTAGTAAAGGACAGACGCTCAGAATGTTGAGTAGATAAAGAAGGACAAAGAAGTGCAGTGTTGTGTTTAGATTGCATTGCGGCACAATGATCTAGCACCTTCAGGTCAAAGTAGAAAATGGCCCCATTATTTTCCTGTTCTTTGTTGTAGCAGCAGTTTTCTAATGATTGCACCAGTATTAGTTAGTATAATGCCAGTGTGATACCACTTATTGCTAATGACTTGTCAAGTTCTATTTTATAGTTTTACAAGTTTTGAGCAAATCATTTATTCCATGCAAATTGACCACATGATCTAATATGAGAGTGTTTTAAGCACCAAAAGCTTAAGCTTCACAGATCAAAAACTTTCCCTTAGGCCAGAATGTTTGTTCAGAGAAGGTTCCAATCCACTCTGATAAAAAGCTTCTTTAATGTTTCCATGTGTTATTAAGTGTCTCTCTATTCACTTTGATGGGAATGCAAAGGACAGTAGCTAAATAAATATTTTATTCATTCTTTTGATGAAATATGTTAAAGGGGATATCCTAAGTCAATTTTTTTTTCTTCCTTTTTCTTTCCTCTGTAAGTTATAAAACATAACTGGCTTTCTGCAATGTAGAGAATTCATAAATAGAAGTAAGGAATTGGACTCAGTAGATCAGACCATTAGTATCAGTGGTGTCTACTGTCTTGATTTCAGCAGTGGCCAGCTGGACACATATCCACAATGTAAATAAAAGGAAGTCAGGGTACTTCTAATGATCTTGGTGGACAAGCAATATAGTCCATGAATCATGAGAAGTCATTATCCAGATTGCTACTGTTATTACTGGACATACAACTTCTCTGATTAAAAAATGCAGCCGCATCACAGCTCTGGAATGTAATGACTGCATATCTATTACTACTCATTTCACATGTAGTCTTTATTTTTCCACTATGTGATAAGTTAAAAAGAATGATTTGTCTTTTAGATTTCTATGTCTAATTAGTCCATGCAGCTGTGATATGGATACTTCCTTCATGTGTGATATTGTTTATAGCTATCTGACAACATATTAGAGCTCATGGAAACTGATGCAGAATGGAAAGTTTTAACTTTAAGCTCATTAGAATGTGCTCACCACACAGAAAAAAAAAAAAAAAAAAAAAAAAAAAGTCATAAAAAAAGTCATGTTAAGATCTGAGTAGCTTCCTCCACTGCCTGGAAAGAAAAAAAAAAATAAAAAATGCAAGTCTGAGTAGGAGCTATAGATACTAAATGAATACTTCATGGGAACTAAGCTACATCATTCCTCAAGCTCAGTGAAAATTCTGTCATTGGTGTTTATTAAATTGTTTGAGATGTGATGAAGAAAATCCTTCTGATTTGTTTGATGAATATTTTAGATTTTATATTGCATGATAAGGAATACAAGGCAAACTTTAATTACCTTTCTTTTCTTATTCTAGCTCTCATCTTTCTGCAAGTGTCAAGCATGTCATATACAAGTACTGATTATAAATTTATTTCTTAGGATAATAGCAAAGAATACGGATTTTCTTTCTTCCCTGATCTGTCCAGTTTGACTGGTGCAGTGACCTTAACTGACATAGTCTTTAAATTTACCTTTCTCAATCAAAAGTTCATGGAATTAAAGAAAATATTTATAAAAATATTATTATTACAATTAAAATCATTGTAGATGGCAGAATATTACAACTGGATATGGGGGGAGAAATAATGCCACCACAGAAAGCAAAAGAAAATGTGGGAACACCTTTCCTGTAACTGTGTGCTTCCTCCTATCTCCCTCATATCCAAATTTTAGTTATCTGAACAGCAGGAATTCTACAGGCCAACAGCATCAATGCTTTGGCGTATTACCTCTCAAATAGCCTGGAAAAATATCTTCAAATAAATCTTGATTTGCCCAGATGTGCCTTTTTTCTTAATAATAGTAAAAATAATGGAAATCAGGTAAGCAAGCTTTTTGCAGAGTCATTTGTCATGAAACATAGATTCAGATCAAATGCTTTATGAAGCTTGGAACAAGACAAGGGCTAGAAGAATGAGGTAAGTGCCAAATATGCTTTTAGAGGATTAAAATCTCAATGGAATCCCACTGTTCCGTCTAGTCTTCCAGTTTTGACACATAAGTTGCTTGAAGTTAAAGATGAGCCTCCCTTGTTATTAGTTGTTACTCTTCAGACATTAGGCTATCATTGCTCTGGGGAAGGGTTTCCTAACTTGGTATTAGTCTATGAAAAAACATGAAGAAATTGTTTTGCATTAAGATAGAGTAGCTGACAATCAAGAGGTGAGCTTGTGTAACTGTTCTGAACAATGTAAATACTTGTTTTTGGGAAAGGAACTGAAATGAAAGTGCCCTAAATAGGTTATCTTTCTGAATAACATCTGATAGCATGATGGTTTTATGCAAGCTAGTAAATTAAATGGTGCCTTGGAATGGTACTCAGCTCTGGAATTCAGGCATATGTAGTCTACAATATTTTTTTGAATGGCCTCTGATAATTTTGACCTATACCAAGTAGCACTGTCTTAAACAATTAATTGGCTCATTTCAGGAGTTAGCAAGTTACTATTATGTTGTATAGGAAAATGACAAATCTATCTATATGTTCCACTTGAGTTTAAAATGCATTAAAAATAGCACTGATGCTATTGGAACTAACATAGTATCTAACATACGCATAAAACATATTATTGAGAGATTTTCCTTCCTCAACACACAGAAAACAACTTCAAGCTTATTATAAATAGCCTAATGCCCCTGCGAGGTCACCCACCTATTAAGTTAAAAGCAGGGACCACTAGGTTAACAGTGAAGGTGTAGGAAGAATGTTTGCAAACTGATAATCTAAATGCTTTTCAGGATATAGTATGGGAAGGATTAAATTTCTCTTCTCAAGAAGCCAAGTGAAAGGCAGCAGCAACTTGATAGTCCTGTTTTTAATACAGTTATATATTTACATCTACATATATATGTATATATGTGCAGCCATGAACACATGTATATATACATGCGCATGTATATATGTAAATCCATATACATTTTAAATGATTTATCTGAACAGAAAATGCTTTTTCTAACCCAACTTGATTTGGTAATTGAACAGGCACGAGTTTCTATTGGCTCAGATTCCTGGAGCTTTGGGGAACATTAGTTAGTACATTTTCATGCAGCCACCAAACCTGATTAAAGTTTGATTTTTGTTTTGTTTTATTTTCCTGCAGGTTTGTATCTCACTCAGTACAACTGTACATAACAAGTATAAAGTGATGCAAGCAAGAGAGGCATGGGCAGACTTAAGGGAGTGGTATTTGCTGGTTTAAACTACTCCAGCTTTATTGATCCCAGACAGAAATCTATGCAGTATATCTTAGTTGCACCATGAAGCTGTGCAGTTATATCTACTTGCAACAATTTATCTGTTGAGAATTCTTTTCCAGAGATTTTTTCATACTGAGGCTCCAAAACCCCTTTTTACCTCGATGTGCATCTTGTAAAAGCTGTTCTAATGCTTATGTTCAGAAGATTGAAGTTGTTAAGGAGTAAAGTTGTAAGAGATTTTTCACTATACATTAATTCACACAGTCCTTCCTGACTTTACAAGAAAACTGAATTGAAATGTCAAATTTATAATGTTGCAACATCCCACTTCATTATGTCGCCAGTAATGGCTGGAGGCAAGTCTTTTCTCCATACTTGAACTGTACATTGTGAAGCAAATTTTACTCAGCATGACCATGGGTTAAATGAGTGGGAAGTTTATTAATACCAACTTATGTAAGTTTGCTTCTGTATTATGTCATCATCACATGCTACTCAGCTCCCTCTGTTATCTCCACTTCCTTCTGCTACTTATCACCTGCATTTAGCAGGTAAAGATAACCCTACATGTTATGTTTAGAAATATTTAAAGCTAGATCTCAAAGAGATGAGTCCATGGGCAGTGAAAACAATGGATTATTGTATGAAAATTATAGGTTGTTATTGTTGCATACTGGAGTGCAAAAATACTGGAAAAGCATTTTATAAAATGAAAAGACATATTCAGCATTTCCCTCTCTTTCTAAATAACCTTAATAAAGTGGTCTCATAAACAGTGATCCCTAGCATGATTAACATGAATATCTGAAGTTGGTATAGATGCATACTTTTCTCAATACGAAATATCCACAGAAAAAGAATTAAAACAGAGAAAAGAAAACCGTGCAATTAAATACTTGCTGCTAACAATTAAACAAAATGGAAGGGACTAATAAATTATGTTGAAAGGCAATAGACACTGGTATGCAATGGGATCACTGCTCAGTAATTTATGAGTTATTTGAATCTGGTTTATCTGTAAAATAGCATAATTCCAACTGTCATTAGTCCAACTACATCTCAGAAACATCCAGTGCTAAAGTCAGAAAACTATTTAGACGTTACTTTAGGACTGCTAAAACTTTAAATTGTCTTCAAGAAAGAGTGCATATGTCATGTCTTGCTAAACAATGACAGTCTGGCATTAATAAAATCAAATTACAGATGCTATAAACCCTCACTACAATTAGAGAAGTTCGATGAAATTAATTTAGTACAGAAAGCACTGGAAGTCCAATTGAGCCCAAATGGATGTGATCACAAAAAATAGTTAAAATTTTTAACTTCTCTAACAGAATGAAGAAGAAAAGGAAAACGACTCTTACTTTTCTTGTCTATAGCTGAGCATCACCTAAGAGAGTGAATCTATGACCATTTTTCTGAAATTAGTACTTCAATAACACAATTTGAAGTTAGAGGGAAAAAAAGCTGAAAGATTTTATTAGATCAAATATCAGGAGTAGAGCTTAATTGTGCAGAGGTGTTGGCTACTAGCTCCTGTTCCTCACTCCCACTGAAATCAATGAGAGCTAAATATTAGGTAGGCATTAAGTACCTATTACCTGTAATGTTAGGCTCTGTTTTATTGATAATCTTCCTCTTACTTCTAAAAGTGCCGTGGCTATAATATTTTAGAGAATCACAAGAGGATGACATATTGATAATACAGAACTGTGAAACATCCTTCATAACGTGATGGTACTAGGTTTGATGCAAAACTTCTCATCAAATGTGGTTTCTACAGAAAAACGGTATACATGTCCTAAAATGATGCAGGTTAAAACAATATCATGTAAAGATGCTTTCAGGTAAATGATAGGAAAGATGATGAAATATACTGGAGCAAACAAATTCTAATACTAGAAATAATCGTCACTTTATCCAACCCCATTTTGCTAATTTCTGATTCTTCTGCTCTGCTTCCTTTTCCCAGGAAATATTCTCTTTCCTGTAGAGGAAAAAGATTCCTGGAAAATAGTCCTGGGATTTGTTTTCATAAGTTCCAACCCTTGTGCTGCAGGCCTCCTCTATGATTTTTGTGGCTTGAATCCTATTAGTCAAAGCTGTAAATACAATATATCTTTTTTCTTTTTTTTTTTTTTCCTTTTTTTTTTTTTTTCTTTTGTTTGGCACATTTGGAATGTGAATAGTCTCCAAATTCTTCCAAGAAATTATTTCCCTCTTTCTTTTACCCTTCTGTCTTTCACAAAATGCTATTATCCTTTCTTCAACTTTTCATACTTTTCAGAGTGGCACTGATGGTTTCTTGGCTAAACCAACAGCTACTTCTAATAATGCCATTTGAAATCTTATATGAAAAAAACATTTTTTTTATATCTTCATTTAAATTAAACCTTTTCTTGAACATTTTTAGTATACTTCTAGAATGTTTGTAGGCTCTTTCTCAACCAGCTTTAGACACTTAAAAGTTCAGACAGTTAAATTTAGAGAAGTCACCCAAGGGATCCATTTATAGTCAATGGATAAAAATTTGTACCTTTAAAAGGTGATTCATTGCTTCTATCTTAGGCATCTCTGTTGGGATGAAATTGTACTCTGGAGGCCTCCATTTCATACTATTGGCTATAAAAACAGCTAAAGGTTAGAGTTTGGCAATTAACTTCTGGATATCTAAGTAAGGTGCAATGAATTGCAAACATTTCATTTTGCAGTTCTACATAAAGATGACACTATATGCCACCAAAATATTCCAGGACTAAAATCATGAGCCATGTATGGTTTTTCACAAAATAACTGCTGCCTAGAAACACAGTGCTCTGCAACCTCCAGCAATTATATGAGTGAATATCACATGCAAAGAAAGGATTCTGTTGTCAAGCTTAACTGAAAAAGATAAAAGCATTGTTTAGGTTTAATGCCGTGTGTGGGCACTGAATGCCTTTTGAACTCTGTGTGCAATTTACTCTTTCACCTAGTACAGAGTGTACTGAAGGACAAAATGAAACAAAAGAAAGGAAACTGAACTACTACCTGAACATGCATTACATGTTTTCAGAACAGAAAAGGTGAGGAATTAATGCTAATCTGGAAATACTCCAAGACAATATATCTTGTTGAAGATACTGCCTGTGCTCTTCTTATCTGTGAGGTATGATGACCAGGTAGCATCCCTGTTAAAATCGAGCTTAATTCTTTGACACAAGAGACAACAGAGAATCTATAGCTGGCTGAAGAGAGTAACTTCTCTCAGTCTCATAACAGAACTAAAGATTTTGCCATTAACAAAAAAAAATTCAAAAGGAAACTGGAAGCACTTCACTGTACACATTTCCTTCTTTGTTATGGTTCAGTGTATTCAGCTTCAAAAAGCGTTTAAAGGGCACATTGCATAGATTTCAACTGTCTTCCATTCCATTAAAGCTGAGAGATACATGTCTGGAAGTTAACTGCCCTAAGAGAGTTTCAGAAGTATATTCTAAAAGTAGTTGATTCTTTTGCCATCCCATATTAGAATGGTTTATTTCTATTAAAATCAAGGATCTAGCATCATTTAAATCACATAAAGCTGACTCTTCAGAGTGGCTTGCAGTGAGCTATTAAAGAAACAAATCAATCCCCGTCTACAGAATAAGAATGCCAAGCATTCCCTGAGTAGCTGCTTCTGAGACAGTGAAAGTTGTTTGAAATTTTTTTGGCAAAGTTACAATAAAGTGCCATAACAGTGTTGACAGATGCTGCTTCATGTGCCAGCATCTGGCTCTGATTCACAGTGGGATGATATAAACAGGGAATAATGGATAGCTGTTTTGCCTCTGTGGGATGGTGTCAGAATTATGTGCTGATAATGTCCCCATTAAAAGATCAATGTCATTTCAGAGTTTACCCAAACAGACACAGCTATTGGGGTGATAGGTGAGTCATAGACAAGAACCTAATTAAAATGACACCAGTGGACATCTCAGAGTTTTGCATAACTGAATGGAAATGTAAAGATGCAATATTTAGACTCTAAACGACAGCTAAAAGTATTTCAAAACTTGCTCATTAATAAATTAGACATTTCAATAACTAAAACAATGTTCAACTTCTCATAAATATATTCAAAATTACTCTTTATTACTTCATTCCTTTCAGACTATTTGAAAAGTAATCAGAACTCTCCCAGAAGATTATTAGTGGAATAAATGCTTCTGTTGTTGTATCATCTCCATTTATGTCATTAATGGAGACAAAAGTATTGATCAGTGTTTCATCATAGAAACTTTTTTTTTTTTTTTTCCTCATAAACAAATATGGACAATTAACCATCAGCTCTGAAAATGAAATCTCTGTAAATTTTGGGGTACAGTACTGCCCTCAGAGGGAAAAGACCAATTAATTCTTAGGTGCCCTGTCTGCTTAAAAAGTAAAACCATAAAATTTTCACAGCTCTAAAACTCTCATTCTAACATTTCACTAATGACATTTTTTGTTTGTTTGTTTGTTTTTCTCTAAGGGAGAGGGCTATTGAGTAGGGAGCATTAGAAAGCATCTCTAGGAAAAAAAAATAAAATTCTTTACTGCTCTGTCAAACATGAAAGCCTATAACTCTCTACAGTTTCTCATGCAGAATTTCTCTGAATAAGAAGCAGATATGTTATTTACTTATTTATTATGACTGATTTTTCAATTGTAGTGCATCAATTACATCCCCAGATGAACTACTCTCATATCAAAGTTACCCCCACGTAAATCTGATGTAACAAGGTGAAAAGTTAGACCTTGTCATTGATATATCCACAACACATTCTAGTCTTTAATCAAGCAGGAGTGACACTTAAAAATAGTTCAAGAGCTTAAAGAGTTTAGCTATCTGTACAGCAGAGGGCAAGTATTTAAATCCAGTGCTACAGCCCACCCACAGTAAATGCAGACAATTTTACTTTCAAAATTAGGTATTCAATGCTCTAAGATCTTATAGAGAAATATCACTTCCAAGATCTTACAATATTGATGTATTTTATAACAGTATCTATATAAATCATTTTATGTGGCAAGTATCATACAAACACTGACTTGCAATTCTCTTACCACATTTGTGTTACAGAAATAATCCCTGCTCTTTGACTGAATAGCTCTTGACAATGGAAAAGAAGAGAAAAGTCTTGTAAAAGAAAATTATAGACCGGAGGTCATTCAATTTGTTACTTTTTTCCAAGACCAAGCAGGCTATAGGATTCCTCATGGACTCTGGCCACAATTTAATTGAATTTATTAACAGCATTTTTAATTTAATTTAATTCTATTTATTTTATTATTTTATTTCACTTCATTTTAATTTTAACATTTAATTTAATTTTAAAATTATTTTATTATTATAAATATGTATATATATATATTTTCTATAACCATATGTGTCCTAGGGGGAGAAATGTATGAGATGATGGGATGACTGTTTTACCCTATAGGGACACTCACAGTGCCAGAAAACTTGAGTTTCTTCAGTGCAAATATTTTTTCAACAGTATAAGATTAACAAGATTGTCTACATTACTTTGGCTTTTAGCCCCTGGCATGGATATAAACAATAAACATATTGATAAAAGGAAATGTTATGGACACATTCTTTGCAGCCCACCTATTATTGGAGATGGTCATGTAGTGGTAAAAGCTCCATTTGGTAATTGGATACTTCAGTGCAAAGATTTTAGATATGCTAATATCTAAATAATGTCACAGCTGTACTTTCTGATTTTCCATGATCTTTGTTGTCAATGAGGTAACTATAAAAATTAACCAGTAGTGAGGCCACGGTATTGAAATGCAAGTTTTTTAACCAAAACTGAAACACAGTAAAACTAATTACTTAAAATAAATTTCCAAGACTTCCAAATTAAAAAATAAAAAATCCAAACATGAATATACAGTATACCTGTGCAAAAAAAAGTGCCACATTAGGACAAAATAACCAAGAGATGTTTATTGCTTAATTAAGCAGTATGCAACATGCAGAACCACATGCTTAGGTGGGCATGCAAAAAGAGAGATACACACAAGAATTCACTTTAGGTAGCTGCAAAGAAAAGGTACTTGTTCATTGGAACAACTTCTTGATCTGCCAGAGTAGTTCAAGAAATATTTCTACTATTCTGTGTAAAGCGAGATGGTAAGTACTGCAGGGAAAACAGGTGAGCAGAGTGGTAAAAAGGAGTTTTGTACTTCTCACCTTGTGAAATCTTCCTGAGCTTATGGCTAAAACTCCACTCATTTTTATTGTAAAAGGCTGAGACCCTCAGATACTCTCTTTTACACAAAGTAAAACTTAAGTCTTGGAAGTTAGTTGGTATTGATGTAATTATTGGGATTTACAGGAAGATTTGCATGAAAATACTCAAAGTCAGAGACAAATGCAGGCCAGAGAAATAAGAAAGTGGATGTGGATGCTTCATGAATCAGCTTAGCAAGAATTTCCCCTTCTATAGTTTCTAATGAATCCACTGTGTACAGTGTACCTATATTTCATTCATTTTTAAAGGTAAGTCTACAGTAACAAAATAAAGCTTAGAGAAAATGAACAACATTTCAGCTTCACTTCTTAAAATCAAAGCAAGAGTTTAAACTGACGTCCAACATATTATTCAGGTTACTGTCAAAATGTATTTAAATCTTTTAAAATGTGTACATAATTAACGAAATGTAAGAATCTAAGTGTTGCTGTTAATTATATGGTAACTACAAACGCTATGTTAAATGGTCTGCTCTTCTTTATACTCTTGGATAAAATTTATATAAACCTAAAATCAGATAATGTTGCCAGTAAATAAAATGATCTTTTCACTAATACAGAAATTCCAAAAATACAATCCAAGAATATATACTGAATGGCATTGTTATTATTGACTAATCCATGTATTGTGCCCAAAGAATGTAATGAGCAGGATACTCCTCTTATGAAAGTCAATAAGATAGAAATTCACTATAGAGTGTAAATATTGAAAATAATCTACATAGTAGGCAATACATCTATATAAAGGAATCTTCAATTTAAATATAATAATATTATATATAATATATATATATAATAAATATATAATAAACATATAACATTATATAATGTATAATATATATCGTTCACAAATTTTAATCTTGGGGCTGACAGAAATAAATGATTCCTAGTTTGAAAGTATTGTGGTGTCAGGGTGACTGTAATTAAATTCGTTAGCTGAATTTCTCTTAGATCTCTTTGTTTGGACAATGTAGTTTAACATAAAATATATAAATTGATAAAAGGATAAAATATATCAGATTGTAAAGCTAATTGGATATTATGGTTATTAAAGGGACTTGGTGTTCTGATGTTTTCCCCACATTTATGTATTCAAGAAAATGAATTATCATATTTCATTTCACAAAGGCCAGTGTGAAATGAGCACATTGCCTGAGAAAGGCAACAAACACTAACAGTAACAAACACTAACAGGTGTTAATTGCCGCTCCTCGGCAATTTCTATAAGGAGCACAAAGCTGGGCATACCTGGCCTTTACCTTGCTTCTCAGAGACATGGTCTGGATGTTTCAGCATAGTTTCTCACGGACTGTGAATTGACTAAAGCTTGTTTTGAAGGCTTTGTTTTATTTTACCTTTTACAAATATATATCATGCTCTGTCACAAAAAAAACATTCACAGCATTTAACTTTAGATGTAGACAAACAATTTATGTCAAAAAGCAGTTGTTTTACAAGTATAGACACTGTTGGACTTTTGGAGATCCTAAGTTAAGGAGCTACCCTTTTCCTTTTCACCTATAAATCACATGATTTAAATATTTTTATGACTTTTTTCCACTTTCTGGGGTCTTGAATTTGTCTACCCATAAGGCTCACTGACACTCAATGTCCACTGAATATTAACCTGTGATTTCTCAGAAAAACTCTATCATAGCACAGTGAAGTGACACAAGGCAAACATTGGAAAGCAAGAGCAGATGGTTGTGTCTTTGATCTTCTGAAATTCCACTCACTACAGAGTCCCTGCTCCCCTTCATGGTCTTCACAGTTTCCTTGTGGCTGGAGAGGTCAAAAATGAAAAGCCATCTTCTCCAAAACTCTCTTCCAACAGCAGGTCTGCTCTGCCTTTGGAGAGTACCAAACAGCCCAGGGAGTTGTCTGGAGAAAGGGCTCTGACACGTGTCAAAGCTTCTTGCAGATGTCAGGAAAACTCTGAGGGTGATCTTGAAGAGCTCCATGCAACTCTTCACATTGTGATTTATTAATGATACAGCTGTGTGAATCACATCTGCTACAGGGAGTTTTATATATATATATATTTAAATCAAAACATAACTGAAGGTCTCTGCTTTTTTTTTTTCTCTCACTCTGAGACTAGATGAAGACCAACCTGATATAATATTTTTCTCTCCTTTAATTCAATCATCACTCTCCATTTCATTCTTTGAGAACAAGCCAAACAAACCATCTCCTTGCAAAATCCCAAGGTTATTCATTTTCCCTCCATAAAAATCTGTGTCCTCACTCTCCCTGTTTTGAGAGTCTGTGCTTCTCAACTACATACTTTGGCTGTGCCTAGACATGCCAAGAGAAGACCAAAACTACAAACTACAAACTACAAGAGATAAGGAAACACAGCCAATTCAGGTCAATGTCAGTGGAGAGCTTCCTGAGCAAATAATGACTGAAGTTTGTAAACTTGTTGCAAAGGTGTGCCTTAATATTCTATCCTTGACTCTTCATAAATATCATTACCTATCGTTCCTAGGATTCTGTCTTCTCTATCATATGTCCTCTTGTACTGGAGGATGATTTCATTATGATTTCAGAAGGAAGAATGACAATTAAATAAGGTCAGGGTAAATTGGATTAATGTGATGTTATGAGACAATTGTCAATCATTATCGGTAGTTCTAGCTTCATTTTTGTTTGTTTGCTTGTTAAGAATTGTTTGTATTAGAACAGATGAACATGGAGATATGGGAAGAGGGAAGATAAAACACAAAGGTGATGATTCAGCTAAGATATTTTATATATGAAGAACAACAATGGCTCTTCTATTCTTGAAGCATTCTGGGGTTAATGTTTGCTATTTGTTAAGAAAAAAACAATACAATATTAATGATAAGCTCCTTCCTCTTGCATCACAGCCAAAAAAAAAAAAAAAAAAGGAAAAAAAAAGCATGGAATATTTTAGCAATTTATATGGCCTTAAATTGACTCTACATTTTACATAACCTTAATTTTAATTCATGCATGGTAGACAAAATTAAAAGCTTTAATAAGACAGCCATTAGCTCTTATGCTTTATTAAGCCTATTTGCACACTCTTTGTTGCACTTGTGAGACCTTTAACAATACAAAACACACTTTTAATGCATAAAGGAACAGAAACTCTCAGGAAAACAGAAGAATATTAGAACAGAGTTCAATGATGTAGGAAAGTACCTGGATAAAAATCCCCTTGCGCAAACATGTCAATCACATAGCGACAGAATGCATATTGATCTAACAGAGCAAAGAGGAAAAAAAGGTAATGAAGAAAGCAAATATAAAATTTTGTTTCTATTTAACAGTGAAAATAAAGCTTGGCAATGCAAAGACACATTTTTGGGGGTATTTTTTTCTCCCTGGCCTTGAAGTAACTCATGTTCTCAGAAAGAGACAATTTATAGTCTACATCTAATTCAAGTCTCCCAGCTCCAGAGCTACTAGTGCCCCAGTTACCAACTCTTGGCCTGCAGTGTGTGGAACAGGTCAGCAATGTGCACCCTTGCTCTCCACACAGGCACTGTGCAAACAGCTGCATGGCCCAAAGACTTTTTCATATCCTTGAGAATCCATTTTAAGTAGTTTCAGTCAGACAATAGGAAAATTCAATAAACGTTTTAATCACAGTATTTTGTTAATACTGCTTTAACTGTGTAATCAATATATACATTTATTGAATGAGAGTATAAACGGTATACTTACACTTCCGTGGCAATGAGATTTTTCCAGAGAATTTTATCATTTCACCACACAATTATTTTCCAAACACTATTATTTACAAATATATATATATATATAAAAGGCATACATTATATCCAAATATTAAAACTATGCTATTCAGAAATTTAGACTTTGGTATCTAAATGAAACTCTGATTTCAGAAATGTTGATTGTCTGTTGATTTCTTCTCTATATAGGCACAATTGAAGACCTTGATCAAAATTGCAAACATTAAGAATGGTGAAGAAAATTACCATTTGTAACTGAGTGTAAAAGAATTGCAACATTATTGCTGTACTCTCCAATTTGCCTGAAAATAGAACATTGCCCCAGTGAACTCCAAGGGACATTATATTTGAAAGTTAATGCTGGTGACTAAATGCCAGCTCTGGTTAGCTATGCTAGTTCACAATAGCCCTTGGATAAAGCACATTCATCTATATGTCATAGACTGTTGCTCCATACTTCCTAAGCTACACAAGTTGCATCTCTCCATCTCCAGTTGCATCTCCTTCCTAGTCACCTAGTAGTGGTTTTGTAAAACCACTTACCAACCAAAAAGTATTTGCCAACTTCAAAACAAAGTTATGCAAACTTTGAAATACTTAAAATTAAAAAAAAAAAAGAAAAAAAAAAAAGAAAAAAAAGAGTGTAACTTGGTTTAAACACAAAATTATATTTGTAAGTATATACAATTGTGTTATTTGTTTTCTTACATAGTTCACTAGAGCATCAGTATTAGTTGATGCTGAAGCATTTATGTGATTGTTATTCTGGAATGATTTCCTGTGCAGCTGTAGAAATTAGGAGGGTTTATATATTATGCATTTTTTTTTTTTTTCTACTAGTCCATAGGATCCTATGCAACTGTTTTCTGTTACTAAAGTGACAAGAGTAAGACTTCTAGTCAGCATTGTAGATCTTTGGATGAACTTTCCAGAACATACAAAGGGCAATGACTATAAGCACTGTTTTTAAAGCCTTTAATGACTATTCATAATGGTTTCTACTTTTGTATTTATGAATTCAAATTTATCATTCTGTCTGGCACCATTCCATCCTTAAGGAATCTAAAGAATTTGGCTGCAATATCTGCCCTAAGTGTATGTGCTTTCTGAAAGAGGGACAAAAAAAAGTTGAAGAGTGTATGTAAGAAAACAAGTATGTGTATATCTGTATTCTCAGTAAGCCCATCTAAATTCAGCAAAGTGATTGCACTGACTTCAACACACTTGGAAATAGAGCCTCAATGAGTTAGATAATCAGGTTATGTCTGTGTAAATAAATAAAATGAACAAAAGTAAATTGTTTAGCCAAGAGAGCAAACGACAAGACATAGTTCATGCCCACAAACTGGAATTTTTCTTGCCCCTCTTTTGCCAAAATGAGTTGTCCATGCTGCCAATTGGGAAGAAACTCTGGATTATTCCAGGCATTGTATAAGAAACTGCTAAATGGCAATAGAGCAAAACTGTCTGGGGACATAAACTGCATGGGGACAGTCACAAGACAGACCACAACCCTGTGCTGGATCTATTTAAGTTATGATACACACATAGCCTGAGGGACTAGCAGCTCACACCATTTCATTGATTTTTAATCACAGTAATATAAACAAGGATTAAAATAGACGACTTTTTTTTTTTTTTTCTTTTTTTCCTCCTGTGGAAATGTAATTTGAATAAACTTAAAAAAAGAAGCTGCAGTCTTGACTGCACCTAAGAAGAAAGATTACATATTAATCTTCTCATTGTAATATCTATTTAGAAACTCAGCCCCTGAAAAAAAAAAGGCAGAACATTAAACTGAATAATAAAAATAGCATTTCTACTGTATATGAAATAATGAGGTTCACAGTAACTTTCCATGAAAGTCCAATTCTGTCAATCAGCAAAGACTGAAATATAAGGAAATTTAAATGGGGATGATTTTCCAAATATCACTTCATGGCTAAAAATTCATTTTAATTTAAACTCTCTTGTTTAAAAGAGAATTTCACACTATAGTTTTCACTTCATAAGTCTATAATAGTGGCACAGATATTCACCTGACCATTAATAATTCACCTCAATGTTTGGACTAAATTCTTATTGATAAAAACAGTCATAGATCTTTGTCATTTGACCTTACCTGATTTACTCTGGGAGACAAGCTATCTTTTTCAATTTTAATTTGCTTAAGGAATGATGTAACAGTAGGGACATCATAACAACACTTCTGTGATTACAGTTATATTTTTTAAATTAATGCAGAAAAGCTGGAAGAACTACTCCCTTGAGCAAGGAAAAATAACGACTGCAGGTTCAGGAAATTTTGGCAAGCCTATATTAACTTAAAAAATATTATCTCTTTGGGCCAAAGGGGAACTCAAATACAGAACTGAATTCTCTGAGAGTATCCAGTTGGACAGCAGCAGCTTGTGGTGGAAAAATGAAGGACAAAAGCAAAAAAGGCAGCTTTCACTGAATGTAACTGAATGTGTAACACTATCTCTGGTGATAAAGAACAGTTTAAGAAGCTCCTTCCTTCCTGCACTGCTGCTTCTCATTCCCTCTTCCACCTACTACATTTCAGTGTACAGTCCTTGGTATCACACTCTAAAGCAGATTTATGTTTGATGGATCATTTTGCTAATATTTATCACTTAAAGGAAAAACAAAACGAAACAAAACACCCTCTCTCTATTGCTCTCTGTAATCTTTGACCCCAACTTAAAAACATTTTGTTGTTGGGGAGTAAAGTGCCTCATATGCACATTGTTGCTTTTTGAGAACCTTAACCTGAGCAGTATGGAGTGAGTCTAACTGTGCACTGAAACTCTGTCACACCAAACAAAAACCAAGAACTCAACAGTTTGTGGAACTTTCCCCTTGGTCAGAACAATTAGCATGAAAGATGCTGCTTCAATTTTATGCCTCAAAGGCTCCAGCATTTCAAGTGAAAACCAAAATTAACTAGAACAGAAATAAATATTAAAAAATACTAGCTCAGCACATTTTGTATGTCAGAAAGGAGCCTATTTCTAACTCTCTTTTCAGCTTTCTGGAAATGTATAATTTAGACAACTCCTAAGGGGTCCAGAGCAGATGGCTATGAAATTCTGAGAGGATCTGCCCAAGCAGATTCAGATATCCAGGCAGAGATGACTGCTTTGATGTTCAGGCATAATGATTACCCGTGGTTATCAGTTGAAAGTATCAGATAGGTGTGCCACACACCTATCTGCTGAGCTTCTTCTATTAATGTCAGAATAATCCTGTATCTTCAGTATGACAGTTCTTACAGAAAGGCAGGTCTCACTGCCTTCGTTCATACAAAATTGTACCTAACAATTAATTATTAATTAACAATGAATAGCCACAGGAAAACCAACGGACCATTCAGTGCAATCTGGGAGTGGAAGATCCCAGGCTGACTCTGACAAAGAGGAGCATACAGCTAACACATGCATTTTGTGTTGATGCGGGTTGATTCCTTGTTTTATCACTTAATTTCTTCCTCTCACCATGTTCACCAGGTTAATGGCATTTCTCTGCTTTTTAGGGGAAATTTTCAACCTCATCACACCAAATTACATCAGTCAGGCATATCATTATGTTGTACACTACGTGACAATGCCTCACACAATCTGATGTAATAGAAATGATTAAATTCCCTTTCATTTGCATCTATTTTCATTATTGTAAATGAGGACATATTCAGATGTAGAAAAAAAAACATAATTTCCAACAGGTTTTTGGACAGTAGGCATTTTCCAAAGTCACTTGACTTGCAATAGACTGCTTAAGATTCTTCTGAGAAAATCCATGAAGACTCCAGCCTATCTGAAGAGACACTGGTCCTTGGTAAAGTAGGATGCAAACTGAATAATGTAAAATGAATCTTTAGCCATTACAGTTAGAACATTCCAGTTATTTAAACTTATTTTATTCCTTATAGTTTCCATCTAGAAATCTGAGATTCATCTGGAATTTATTTGTACTGCTCTTTTCTTTGTCATGGGTGGACTTTGGTCCTTGTTAGGTCTAACTTCATTCTCTTTCCTTCTTTCCTACTACCTTTTTAATATCTTCATCTGCTTCCTCCTGGTTTTGTTTACCTTTCTTTTCCGATTTAGTTACAGTCTGAAGTGCTTTCTCCTCCTTAACTTTCGGTTTGGCCTTTATTAACCCAACTTCTGTTGTTTTAGTTTCTGTCTGCTTGACCTTCTCAGGCATCTTTGCTTCTCCTTTTCCATCCTTCACTTCCTTTTTAACTTTTGCTTCCACTTTGGTGCTCTTTACTTTCTTCTCCTCTGCAGGTAATCAAGAAAAAACTTTGTGTCATCCATTTCCCTCAAAATAATATTTAATATTATTTATTTTACATTGTGCAATTACTAAGAAGCATTCTTTCATCATCAACATCTTGCTTGGATCTGATGAAAACTGTAATTCCTCCAAGCCAAACAGATATGTTAGATATGTTAGATAATGTTAGATACACACGTTTTGTCTTCAGTCTTGTACCAAGTTTTTGGCTGATACTAGGTAATAGGCTACAGTAAACAACAGTAATCTAATGACAACATGCTAACTTTGATGGCATAAACTAGGGGAACAAATGTTGGTCATAAAGCAAGCATATTAAAACCTGACTACTAAATATGAAGAACTTTAAAATTCAGAGCAAAACTGTTGTAAGTTGTAAGTATAGTTGATTTAAAGCACAGTTGTTTGTAAGGGTCATTTTTATGTATTAACTCTAGGCCTTTGACCAAGGAGTCTTATGTTCTTGAGTCTTTCTCCACACCAATTCCCCAATTTGAAAGATTAGTCTGAGACAGGCCACTAAATGGCCCTGCAGTAGAGCGAATTTTCTAAGCAGAATTATCAAATTCTATAATGTCAGTGGTTGACACTACACAGAGGTTGGTGAGACATAGACTTTCCCTTCCACCTTTATAGATCAGTTGCTTTTTCTCATCTGAGACATGGATTCTGGCATTATGTTTCCAGTTCACTTTAGTGGAAAATCCAACAGTAGATTAAAATAATTTAATATGTTTTAAACAAAACATATTTGTGTCATGTTCACAAATATATTTTATTCATAGCTTTAAATGTCTCCAGCCTTGATGGAAAACTCTAGTGCTACAAAATCCACATCTTCTATAAGCCTCTGGACTTGTATTTTTATCAAGTCACTAGGCTGACCAGACTGATTTTAGCTACATGTAAACTGAGTAGCTCTACCAATTCTGAAACAGAAAATATACAGAAAACAGATATAATGGACAGGTATAATTCCTACTTTCAAACAAAGCTATGACATGACCAAATATACTGTTGGATAATGAAGAAAGAAGTTCCTTAACTAGTTATAGAAAAAAATGTGTATGTCATAATCTACATCTTTTTCAGGGTAATGGAAGTTCATATCTCTACTTTAATTCCAATCTGAAATTTCAACAGGTTTAAAAGGGATTATCCATAGAACTAATCCTTGGATGTTCTAAAGAGATTTTGATTATTTCAAATTATAGTGTCATGTAGAAGATTTTTCATACACATTATTTCACACACATATTCTGCTCTGATAAAATAAAATTTATGAATTTAAATTTATTAATTTTTTAAAAAATAAGGAAGAAAGAAGGAGAGGAGAGGAGAGGAGATGAGAGGGAGGGAGGGGAGGGGGGGGAGGGGAGGGATCGGCGAGTGTGGGGGGTGAGGGGATCGGGGTGGGAGGACTTAAGGAAGTCTTACCCTCCTCGAATCCTTCAGGTCGGCCTTCCTCAATGCTTAGAGGAGAGGAAGGAAGGAAGGAAGGAAGGAAGGAGAAATAAATACCTTTGGGAGGAGTTTTCTTTTCAGCTTTTTCATGTCTTTCAGGTTTGTCTTTTTGAATTACTAGAAATAAGTACAATTGTATATTAGGAAAAAACAAACAAACGAGAAAATATTTCTAAAACACAAAAACTTCTCTGGAAGTGTACAATTCATTATTATGATTATTATTATTATTATTATTATTATTCCCTGTAAATATCTTCTTTTTCTCAGATTCACAAGGGTCAAAAGCTTCAAAATATCTGTTTAAAATAACTTAATCATAAACCAAGTCAGTTGCACAGTTCTGGGGATATTTAGGGAATGTTTACACTATATATTCCAGATTATAAAAACTTGCTCTGCTCAAGCTCTGAGCAGACACAGGCTTGTTCTTCCTCTGCTCAAGCCAACAGGAAGCTGAGTGACTATACTAGTCTCACAAAAAGGGGTTTAGCTTGGGCTCAGTACAAGCATGGCCACAAATCTGGTGCTCACTTCACGGTCCAGCCTGAGTGAGTTCATGTCTGCACAGGATACACTGTGTAAACACACGCTGCTATGTCCCAGAAAAGGTGCCGAAACTATATATCGTGACTTCTAGTTTTCCTCTCATGGTTGGTATAGACATATTACTGGAGCAAAACAGCCTTGACAGTTAATTACACTTCTTTCAAGTGATAACTGCATAAAAGCAACATCCCCTTTAACTGAATCCCAGCTTTGAATTGCTACCTATACGGACTGATAATGAAGTTTGTTTTTGTTTTTATAAGATAGATGTTTCTTAGATGGTGTCTTCAAACAGCATTCATATCACTGAAGTTTTCTGAAGCCTTTAGCAGGGACTGAGTAAGTCTTTTTTTATTGGGCTTAAAAAAAAATCTCCTGATTATGAGGGAAGTAGCTGACAGCAGCAGACGGTATGTTTGTTCACTCGAATTGGCCTGGACTAGAGAATCCTCATTTCCTAGGGGACTTGAAAAGGTTGAAATGGCTGCCCTATCCTCCTAGTAGCTTATACAGTTTGGGGCACAACCCAGACAAGATGGAGGTTAACCTGGCAATGGATAGATCATCACATTATGGGCATAAATGTGCCTTAAAAAGCAGCAAAGGTGGTGATTGTTGTAGAGCACTGTCTACCCATGGGGATTCATATTGCTTAGGAACTACTTAACATAGGGTAGCAAGCCTAGATATCATAGATTGCAGCAGCAATCTCCCTAGCTGTAATAGTGGACAAAGGAGCAAGAAAACTAATTCTTCAGAAAAATTTCTGGCTAGTGACCAGATTCATGGCTACTTTAAATACATTAAAGCCATTAGTGATTATTTAGTTAGCTAGCAGAAGATTAATGGATAAACAGACTGGCTGCTTGTTAGAAGCATCTCAGTGATTCTCAAAAGCTATTTGCTTTTCAAAACTACTCTGACACTGTGGGAATTAATTTTCTCAAGCTTATTTCAGTGTGATTTCACTTTATGTATAAAATAAAAAATAAAATAAAAAAAAATCTACACTTTCAGGTTATACACTGAAAGTAAAAGAATCTTCCAAATATTAATTTTAAAGACAAACTGGATGGTGGCTGTCCTTCAGGTTATTTTAAGTCTTTAAGACTAGTCTTTGTTCCATTTTCTCTCTTTATTCTCTCCTGCTTACTGTTTTCACATTTCTACTTAGAGTAAGATAAAGTCCAATAAAGCCTGATTTGTACATTTGAATCTATATTGTCCGAACAGATTCAAATCAAACCTAATTAATTCATGTGCCCCATCATCATCAATTTGAATGCCATAAAAGACTGATATTAGATACACTGCATAGTATTTATTCGTGATTTAACTGAGTAAAAGTACAAGACAAAGACTAGAATCTAACTTCGTTATGGAAATATCTGGTTTTCAAAAAGAGATGCATGTAAGAAAAACAAAACAAAACAAAAAACAAACAAACAAAAAAACACAACCAAAAACAAAACAAAAAAAAAAAAAAAAGAGAAAAAGGAAAACTCCAGAGGGAAAAACCAACCAACCAAAACCAAAAAATCACGCAATAATAATTTTTAGTCTTAAAAAATGACACAACAGGTGAATGGATTGGAAATGAATGGATTTTTAAATCTCCCTGTCCAAATCATGGCTAAAGATGGAATTATCAGTCAGAACACTGGGAATGAGCTCTTGTACATGATAATGCTTCAGAATATATGTAATAATTAGTAGACATATAAATCTTAACCAAAGCCACTTCAGCTGTGGAAGATAATACAAATCATGTACTGAAATGAAAAAAATACAAAAAATAAAGGCAGGGGAATGAAGGTATGGTGGAAGACACAGACTGAGAGACAATATACAGTCTTGCACTCCATCAACACTAGACTGAACACTGCTACACATGCCTCTGTAGGCAAATTACTGAATCTTATTTTGGAGGAAGCAAACATCAAAGACTGCAAATATAATAGTCATGGGTCGTTCCCTTGCCTTTATTTATTTCTGTAGCTGCACAAGAATGATTTATAATTAACTCTGCAAAACAAGAGAACAGAGAAAGTAATAAAAGCTGTTCAAGACTTCACTCAGAGGCTGATTAAGAACTGCTCAAGCAAAAGTGAGAGCACTCAATGACTGTATAGTGGGGACTAGAAGAGTTTTAAACTTTAAATTCCCATTCCCACAATTTCCAAACTATATAAGTGATAAAAATCTAAAATTGTACAAAATCCAATAATACTCAGCATTACCTTTAGGAGGTGCTTTCTTTTCGTGTTTTTCTGGCTTTTCAGATTTCTCTTTGTGAATAGCTAGAAATAAACAACAACAATATTAATGGTTATTAAAAATAAGAAATGTTGCAGCTGTGTAAGAAAAAGGAGAAGAAACATAAGAATAATCTAGTCACCATGACTAGACATGGAAAGAAACAGAAAGACTGAATCAGCTGCCACTATCTGATGCTGATGTCAAGACTCATGACCAGAACTTTCAAAGGCTCACGTACCATCGCTGAGGACGGTCATCAGCTGAGGGAGGAATGGCCTTTCTGACAATACTCTGATACCATGAAAGAATGTAGTCAAGAAAGAAAAAGTCAGGAGTATTTATGTTGTTTACTATTTTTGTTTAATGGTTCACTTTTGTTCATTATTATTTTTGAGTTTTCTTGTTTATTACTTTGGTTTATTTCTGAAGGACTTTCTGAACTCTACATAATAACTAACAGTTTTTCTGGCTACGAATGATTAAACACTATAATTAATTACAAATGTAATTGCAATGGCATTATAACTAATACTCTTTGGGGCTTTTTGTTTGCTTTTAATTTCTACTTTACAAATTGAAATAAAGTACGCTATAGTGACTAGAGTTCTGGCTCAGGTTTTAGAGAACACTTGAGTTGTGCAATAGTCACTGAGTGATGTGTAGTCTGAAATATTTTCTAGTGTGGGCTCTGATCTTCTAATTTTTTTGCAGGTTAATGTTTACACAGTAACCTGTCCACAGGTGTGAAGAAATGACATTTATACAAGTTCATATGCATTGAGGTACCCTACCAGTACCAGGCGTGTAAAAACATTCATCTGCCTATTTGACTCTGCCATATGAGTTTACACTAAGAACACAAAAGTGTATGCATGAGCATTGCTACGTACTCTCCAAGCTTGTGCTGATGTTTCAAAAGAAAGTTAGAATTGTTAAAGATAAAGCTGTGCTAGATACCTATTTATTGCAACTACTGAGAGAATATTTAACTACTTAAAGGATTAGTCCTGCCCTTTGTTCCATAATTCAAAATTCCATATCTATGAAACAGCCGTGGTCAGTACCATTATTAATATACTTTTTTTTTTTTTTAAACATGGCTTGCTTCATTACATTTTCTCTTTTCATGTTAGGTGTTTTTCCTGGATGACCATATTTTCTTAGAAATCATAAGATTTCACAGATCACAAATCATAAGATCTCACAATCACTGTGAGATTATACTCATCCAGAGTACAAAATATAATATCTATGATCTCTCCCTCTCAAAACAAAACAAAAACACACACACACACAAAAGACAAAAACAAACAACACAAGCCAACAACAACTACAACAAACCAATCCAAACAAACAAAAAATCTAGAAGGTCTACAAAATGCTAGTCAGTCTGTATGTCTAAAACCCTTTTCTCTACATCACAATTTTTACTAATAAAGTTCCAGTCATTTTTCCAGTCAAGAGGAGACATTTTCCCAGTCAAGAAGATACATAAATGGAAGTGAAGAAGACATTAGTCCCGAGGTACCCCAAAATATAACATAAATCCTGATATGAAATTTATACCTGTATGCTTCTCCTTTTTTTCAGGTTTTTCTTGCCGTTCCGTTTTGTCTTTATGTGTCACTAGGAAAGAAGAAATGCATTCATATGTCTAAAAAACCCACCACCATTGTACAACAAACTTAAGAATCAGAAACAGTTATACCAAGTTAAACCATAGGAGATGAAATGACAAATTGTGTTATTCTTGAGCTATCTCATGCACTTCTGTACTGCATGCATCATACATGGTTATTAGCAGACAACTGTGACTAACAAGTTACTGCTTATGTTTCAAGCCATGGTACCATTCCCCAGCTGTTTACTACAGTAAGAACCTTGCTTGCAATCGCCTGTTCCTGAAGGCAGTTTTCCAGAAAACTGTCAAGGACAAAGGCAGAGCTCATAGCAAATGCTGCTGCCTATACTAGAAGTAGGACATCACCTGGACCACCCCATTTTCTACGAGGCAGAGGCTTGTTAGAACTGGAGTTGGACTTGTCAGTCCTGGAGTATAAGAGTGTCACATGCACAAATTATGTCTCTGTCACTTGCCAGCTGGCTTGAGGTGGATAACTAGCAATGGATATGGATAGCTAGTAATGGATATGGATAGCTAGTAACAGACACTGGCTGAGATCAGTTTCTGGCAAACGATGATCCCAAAGCCATAATTAGCTTCAAAATAAAAACTAACATTTTGACAATGAAAATTGCATTATGCTATCCATCCATTCATATAATATTTTCCACTCACCTTTCTTAGGATTTTAGACAATAATTTTCAAAATAATGGAAAACAAGCATGAGGATTTAACAGCACTTCAGAAAAATCACCCGTGAAACTACAGGCTAGCTTTTACTCTATCTCCTGTGGGGATTTCATTCCAGTTTAGTAAAACTCTTTTGTCAAACAGGACAAAATAAGGAAGATTTTTCACAGTATCATGAGTTCCACGTCTGACTGGAAGCAAAAGTAGAAGAGCAAGGAGCATTCAAACTCTCACTATTATTATTATTATTATTAATTTTACCAATACGGTAATGAAATACCTCAAAGTGAGATCCTGACATATCTGACTGAGTCATTTCTAAGGGTACTTTCTCTATGTCATTAGATAACTTTCCTAAACTTCATCACATAAGTTGATTAGAAGTTAGAATAAGGGTTACTTACTCTATATGCCAAACCTGAAAAATGAATGTTTCAAAAGTAGAAAATAAACATTTGAAATGCAGGGACTCAGTAAAAATTTTGGGTTTCTCAGGCACACCACAATGAAATTGGCCTTAGAAAGACACATCCACAACCAAAATTTTAAAATATATTATATAGTCTGAAAATAATCTTACTACAGTGATTACAGGGAAACTCTACCTGCAGTAGCATTTTAGCAGTAATTGTAGCAACAGTTCACTAAAAAAACCTAATACATTCATCTTGAGATAACATCTAGACACAAGTAATGTCGGGTAGACAGCTGGTGTTATTAAGAGTTATAATTATTATTCTTCATTTGCTTGGGATATGTTTTTTCTTGTTCTTTGAAACATTCCAAAACATTAAAATTTCTTCTCAAGTCAAAGCAAATCAAAGATTCTCCCAAGTTTTCTGCTAAAGAACGCAAGTCTTAATGACACGTTCATGTTATAATATGGGACATTATAATCTCTACTCTGTCATTTTGCCAAATCTCAGAATAATAGTCCCTTGTTAAAACCACTCCATTTTCTAGTAATAAATTTTCAGTCTAATAGAAACCTGAACTTACGTGCCTCTCATTAACCTCTAGAGTCAGTCTTGTTATTTTAAATTATTGATATAAAATGCAAAAGGTCCAATCAGAGACAACTAAAAAGGCCTAGTCAATCACAGATTTAAGAAGGTGTATGTTCACTTCAGTTACAAGATGGTCTGAAATAAATCAACTGTAGTTGAATATTGAATCTTTCCTTCTTCTGGTTGATTTGTTCTTCCTGAGTTGGTTTCTTCCTCCAGTCTGAGACTTCATTAATCAAACTTTTATGTAAAGGAAATGTTTGTAGAAATCTTGAAGTGTTTTGACAAGTAGGTATGTTTCAACAAAATACCATTTTTGCCAAAAATGCCTCACAAGAAGCAACCTAAATGGTGGCTCTAGGCAAAATTTTCATGAGTCGTGGGTGGAAAGGAAGTTGACTCCTACAATAGATAGCCTGTAATTTGTTGTTGGCATACACCAAAAGAAAATTATCAAATCCTCTCTAACACTCTCCCCCAGCACCTCTGAGTCTCGGAGAAATGTTTTTTTAAAGTCAGGTCTCTGAAGTGGAACACCTCAAGTGGCCATGCCCTGTATGATATAATTTAGTCATTACATTATGTTCTGAAATGTGCCCAAAGATTAATATTATTCTTAGATTTATTCAAGAAGAATAAAAAGACACCTGTTTATGCTCTAGGCATCTCTTTTATTAAAAGTTAATAATAAAGTACAAACTTATTCATTAATTTATGAATATAATTTTAGTCTTTCTGCAGAATGATGGATCTAAAGTGCTTTTAAAATCCTCATTCCCCTTCTGGCTAGTTTTCATAAAATCTCCTCCATCCATAACTGGGTTTTCCAAACGGGTCTGAGAGTCAATAGATCAGACTGTTTTAATCCACTGGTAAAACAAACAAACAGAAGTATCAAATGCTAAATACATACCTTTTATGGGTTCCTTCTTTTCAATTTTTTCTTGTTTTTCAGGTTTGTCTCTGTGAATTACTAGGAAAAAAAAAAAAAAAAAAGAAACAGTAAATCCATAATCTGCAGGTATTATGTATTACACTTATTACTCCACCAAAACAATTAAAGAAAAATTCTGTAAAATTTTGGCTGAGTAACAGACACTAGATCTTGTATAGAGCTTCTCAATGTCAATATTTAATTCCGGGTCCAGGAGAAATATTATTTACTCTAAACAGTCTTAATATGTTGGACAATATTTTGGCAACATAAGAGATTATTCAGCAGCCTTAATCTGTGCAATCTGGTTTGGTCCCATTACACAGGCACCCTGGCCCTAAGACTTCTGATGGATTAAATTATTTTCAGTCCTTGAGAGCATCACTTTCTATTCTTAACAAAATAATTAATTAATTAATTAAATGGTTAGCATATTGCTTTTTTTTTTTTTTTTTCCAGATATTGCTTCAGCCATAGGATGGATTTATAGGACTACATTTCTTTTATTAAAAGTGTATCTTAAGAAAGAACAGCTGTTTCAAGGACAGTCAACTACATGTCCTGCTGGCAGCAGGCAAATTTGAATCCTTGTGGACTCTGTTTTCCACTCAACTTTTAGACCATATTTATGGACATGGTTATATTCCATATCCATATCTATTTAGATAGGCACTTTCCTTGCCAATCTCCACTTCTAAAAGACCACCATTTTTTGTTAATTTAAGGGAGAAAATATTTTCTTTGCAATGCTCAAGTTTCTGTCAACAAGTAAACCACAGAAGACACAATCCTGATTAAAGACAACTGCAAGTTTTATACACAAATACAGTGAAATTTTTATATACATTAATTTCATCAGCTTTGCAGCAAATGTAACTTCATAGATGTACAAGCATATTTTTTGTTGGCTAAATATTTTTTCATTAAAAAATAGATCTATGTCTTTAAGAAAATATCATTATAAACATTCCATAATTTCATTACGTTGGTAAATGTGTTTGCATTATCCAAATACATTTCCAGTCATAACAGGCAAATCATTGTTGATAACAATTAGCAGAACATAAGAAAGAGATTGCAAGGAGATTTTTCAAAGCTTTTAAGGAATCTGGACAGCTAATTTACACTTTTTTTAAAAAAAGAAAAAAAGAAAAAAGAAAAAAAAAAGAGGCTGTGAAGAACACACAAGCAATCACATTGAATGAATATTATTGCATGAATGACAGACTTTAAGTTAACCACTTGCTTTAGGACATCTAGTAGCATAGCAAGAAAAAACACTCTGCTCTCTCACTATATTCTGTAGAACTTGGACTGTGAATTGTATGAGAAACTGTAACTTGCTCTTAACATGGTCTTATTTGTTTGCATCTGTATTAACAAGTGCAAGAACTGTGCAACATATTTCAAGTCTGCATTGTCAATTTTGGATGGGACAGCAGCAGATTTTTGCAAATAGTTCTGTGATGGTTAATGGTAGTTAAACATGAACATATTGGACAGTCCTTATAGTCACTATGTCAAAAAATATAGCTGAAATGTGCAACAATAAACTGGCAATAAGAAAACTGTCTTTTAGCCATTGAACATCAAACTTGTGTAAGGGAGGCAAACCACCCTTTAAAAAGTTTTGTTGTTGTTGTTTTTTGTGTGTACGTGTGTGTGTGTTGTGGGGAGGAGAGGTATGTACTGAATCTCAGCAGACATTAAAGTGGACAATTTAAGGTTACTTCAAGTCATCAAAAACTTACAGAGGACACAAATGGAAAGAAATATTAATATTTGTGCAGACTCGAAGTTAAAAACACAAAGAGATCAGTTGGCTCCTTCTTGAGAAATAAAACAAGCTTGACATATCTGGGCAGGAAGCCTGGAATGTGGATAAGCAGAGAGACTAGGCTGGCAAAAGCATGAACTATTTGTCTCTTTCCCATGATAGGCTGAAGGTGGATCCAAGAGCCCTATCCTGGGTGTTGATATCACCAAAGCTTCAGAGTTTGCTAATCTCAGACTGTAATATAAAATTACCATTACCTCATATGGATACTGTCAAGAGCTATGGCTTTGGGGTAGAACCTTATCTATAAAGGGCAGGTGTTGCCAAAAATTAAAGGATTCATGTTTCACAGCTGTGATGACTGGCCATTTTTACATCTTCAATCAAAGTGCCCCAGGGACGCCAAAGTCCATTGAAGCTTTTGATCTGACAAACTTTAATATGATTTTTCTTTTCTACATTAACTCTGTATTCTCCCCTTCAAATGCTTTCATGTTCAGCTTTATATGTCATTCTGAAAACTCTCTCATATAAATTACTTCACTGTCTACAGATCTTTTCCAGATTTAGTCACCTGGATATCTATTCTGTTGTAAAGGGCTTAATGCATGCACTTTTTAAAGTTCCCAGAGCTTAGAGGAAAGAATTAAGTTGGAATTAGAAATAAGGCAGGCTAGCCATATAGCCATGTTTGGGGAAACAACCTAGAATTAATACAAATATTTTTGCATATATAAAAAATAAAATAAAGTACTTTTTTTTTTTTTCCTAAATCAAGCACTCTTCAACTGAAAAATGCTGAAGCTAAAACTGCTCATCTAATTTTAATTCAACCATTTTATTTGCTTTATGACATACTAAGTTATTAAAAGATCATCTCTTTTATTTTTTTTTTTTTAATAGCATATTGGGTTCATCCAGAGAAAAATAACAATGTATTTGCTTTCATAACAATTGCCTAAGTTAAAATTTTCTCACAGCTTAAAAGAATTTGCTTGGACTTGCTTTCAAATACCAATAAAAAGCATAAGTTCAGAATGAACTGTTATTAACAGTGGAAAAAATATAATACTCTAACCTATTTTTCACTAACCTAGATTTTGGAAATTGCTGAAACATTTTTATATGACTTTGAATGAAAATTCAGCCAGAGGCAAAAAGCCAAGCATGAAAAAATTCATCCTTCATGACTGGAGTGCGTTAAATTTATAAATAATCTAAAATAGGAGTTTATAATGGAAAATTTTAAGGTAATTTAACAAGGTATTCTGAATTTAATCAAATAAGAATATTTCTGTTTACTTCACATAAAATTTAAAACAACAAGCATAGTATATATGTGATATTTTCCAAATTTTAGTCATCTAGTGCTATATTTGATTTGCATCGAATGGAATAGAAGACAGTGATTGGGGATGAGATTTACTTTTTTTAAATAAAGTGTTTGAGATAGAGTATTTGATAACATTTCCAACCCCACCCACCCCACCCCCCCCCCCAAAAAAAAAAAAAAAGAACTTCAAAGGGATGTAATAAGGAGGAACTAATTCCACATCTAAGCTAAGTAAAAAGTTTTCAGCTGAGTAAGTCCATTGCTTAGCATAAAGCTATGTGATGGGTGCATAATGCATGCAGTAGAGGTTGCTTGCTCCAGCTAAGTGCCTGTCCACAGAGCAGCACTCACAAAAGTTAAGATAAATGAACTAATACAATGAAGTTAGAATGCATTAGTCAGACAACATTAAATCTCTGAGTAGATACTTCTATTCAGAAGCCGAGTAACCTTAGATGGCTATAACTTAATCCTTCTTGAAAGAATCCTCCATAAAAAAAAAAAGGGGGGGGCGGGGAGTGTGCTTGATCTGCAGAGGGGCACAAACTTCCAGGTCCTAAACAATATTCCAAGGAAATCCCAGCAATTTAGGAACCGTGAAGGCATCTGCATTCATTACAAACCACAACAATTACCTGTAAAGAGGGAAGAAGCTTGCCTGGAACTTGGCCACACCTGCCCCAAATGGCACCAGGCATGCACGTGCTCTGCAGCACCAAACTGTAAGATGGATCTAGCCCTTCAACACTAGGTTTAAATGCCTATGTAAGAGCAAGACCATTTCCTGTGCATTACAATACAATTTAAAGTTAGATTTAACTGCAGCAGTCAGAGGGCATTACACCCATCTGAACTGACATTCAAGTTTGCCAGCTACTGGTGGTGGTCAAATTACCTGCAAGCATTGGCTTTACTCTGGGCTTCTCTCAGCCCATGTGGCTAAACTGATACTTGACAGCTGTGCCTGAGATGCTGCAGCTGTATTGCTACCAGTACCCATGTAACCTAGTTTAGAGTAGCCTCAGATGGATCTGTAGTCATAAGTCTAGAAATTGAGACAGACAGCCCTTGTATCAAGCCTAAATATGCTACTTTACTTGCTAATCTTGTCAACTTATTTTGGGTTTCTGGTACACTGTAGATTTGTATGGGCCAACTCCGTTTACCTATTTATCTGTCTCAAATACCATATATTTACAGAAAATTAAATTATATGGACACTTTATATTTGTCTTCATGATGATATAATATATCCATATGCCAAAACACAGCCAGCTTTACTCTGTGATGTTTAATATTTGCATTACTTGTACAGCCCTACTGTGATTAGGGTAGGAGGGACAGGTATGTGCTATGCATAGTAAGTGAAATAGTTTGGAAGTGACTGAAATATATTTGTGAAATCAGGTCAAATTCAGAGATACTTTCTGCCAAAACCAGAGAGGTTAGTACTAATTTCAGAGGCACATGAGTGTCTTTGCTGAAATCACAGTTGGTTTTTTTTTTTTGTTTGTTTGTTTGTTTTTTAATATATGACTCTCAGAGGTAGCATTTCATCATCACATTGTCTTCTTCCATCCCTCACTCCAACAGCAATGTATTAGTGAAATACATACAGGAAAAATCACAGTACCTTTTTCAGCGTTGTGATGATGTTACGTTGACTTTAGTGTGAGGAATTCTTATTCTCAGTGTAAGTGAAGTTTATGAAGATTGTGTGATGAATGTATATTTTAATGACAGTTTTGAACCTTTTGCCATGACTTCTCAAAGTCTGTGTTAATGAGCTATTTTTATTCCAGTGGTACAGGTTATTTCATTGTATTGCTAATATCTATTTTCCATAAGAATTAGAAATTCTTTTCTCAGTCCATTTGGGTTATCATTAGGTTTTCTCTTTGACAGAAATTACACTCTTATATACATTTATCTCAATATATTCTGTTATTGTTCTTCCCTGTTGCTGAAATATCGGATAGTTACCTCTTATTCATTGGCAGCAACAGTAATAAAAGCTATAGCACCTATGTCTTAAACAGTGCCTTCATCTGTAGCTCTTAAAGTCTTGCAAAAGCAGTATATATCATTATATTGCAGGAATTGCAGGACAGCTGTGGCTGGCTGGGCACTGCGAAAGCCCCCATGCAGCAGGCTCAGCACTGAGGCCAGGCCAGGCTGTGTGGGGCTGGGGCTGGAAACCCCAAGGACTCTTCCAGAGTGGGCTTCCTGGGCAGCCCGTGCCATGGGGAGAAAGTTTCTCCGTGTATCCCACCTGAATCTTGCTTAGTACAGCTGAGCCTCCTTGTGTCTCTGGCTCCTTCCTCTCTACCACCTCTCAGCCTGCTCCAGGCTGCTCCTAGGCCAGCCCCGGTCCACAGCCTCTCCTTTCAGAACAACTGCTCCAACCCCCATCATGTCAGGGGCTCCATACTGAGATCACCCCAGTTTATCCATGTCTTTGCCTAGGAGGCCATGGTATCTAGAAGTGGTCTCATGAATGCTGGCTGCATTATGAGTGATAATCACCTGCTTCTATGGGCAGGCCATGCTCCTGCTCACACAGCTCAGGGTGCTATTGGCCCTTGTGGAAATGCTAATGCATCAAATTCCAAATTGTATAGACCCTATTTTGTAGTGAATTTATGCTTAACATATACATGTAATTACAAAATTTCACTGCTCTTAAGAATGAAAAAATGTTTTGTTGAATCAGTGAACTCTGAAAAGCAGAAATACACTGAGAACTAAGTGCAATCATGGAAATACACTTCATTATTAGGAGTTTATCAAAATATTTAATTATAGGCAAAGATTAGGGTACAAATCTGCCTGGCATTTAATACTCTTAAGAAACTTCCTTATAATTTTAGCCAGTTCTATCTGGAAATTCCATTCTTTGCACCTGTTGCTGATATTTTGGTACAGTCTTTTCAAAATGAGGCTTATGGATGCAGCTTCCCTATTGGGACTTCAGTTCAAAGGGTTTGACTACTAAAAAACATGTCTAAAATTATTTTTATAAGTCCAGCATCCCCATATTTGTGGTTGGAGAACTCAAATTTGTTTGAGATGTTTGTTTCTATTAAAAAAATGCATTAATTTCTATATTTTTCCTATAAGAAACAATAAAAGATTATATTTACCCATGCTTACTGAAGGTATGTTAGAAGGTAAGAGCAAATCTCCCTACAGATTCATGTCTTCATCATACTTTAGCTTGAGGTCAGACAGAATGTTTTCTTGTAACTGTTCCTACTGCATGCAAAGTGCATTTTGAGGTACTAAATATAAGCAGAAATATATATAGTATGTTCAAGGTGAGGCTGGATGGTGCTTTGGGCAACCTGGTCTAGTGGAAGTTGTCCTGGCCTGTGGCAGGGGGTTTGGATGGTCTATAAGGTCTCTTCCAACCCAAACCATTCTGTGATTCTATAATTCTATGAAATATGAGACCCTCCCCATCTCCCCCTGGAAAAAAAACAAAACAAACAAACAAAAAAAACACACACAAAACAAAACAAAACAACAAAATAACACAACCAAACACCAAAAATAATAATAATAATAATAATAAAAAATTATATATATATATATTTGTCATTTGTATTGCACTTCTGCAATTGATTGTCTAATTAAAGACTGCATTATAAGGCATACTCATAAAGGGCATACTCGGGCATACTCATAAATTAATGACACGTGAGTGCTTTTTTTTCCCTAGCATCTTATAACATCTTTGTGATCATCTTTGTCACATTAATGTTTTTCTATGTAAAGCAAAGTATTTCTGTACAGATGGAATAGTATACAGGAGGCTGATTTGGTCAAGGCTGCAACTTCATTTGTGTTTTTAGAATACTGTGCTTGAAAACTCCCTATCTGAGATACTTTGCTAATGAATTTTAGTTCATTATTGACCAACTAGCCCACTGATACTCTAAAAAAATTATTTCCAAGGTACATGATTTATTAAATAGTTGGGAAACAATTCTGGGTACTTCAGATGACCCTGGAAACCTAGCACTATAGCTGTAAAATACTAGAAAGAAATATATATATAAAATGAATATAATTTTATGAGGGAGAGTGTATGTATAAACACATTATTTTTAATAAGCTTCCGTCTTGCTTCCACCTATGATTACTAAGCACGACATTGGTGCATCATTGAGATGCTCATCAGATTTTGTGTATCCTAATCTTTCCAGAGGAGGTTTTATTAGACAAAATAAATAAATAACAAATCTGCAAATAAGTCAGGAAGCTTCTTTGTTTACCTGACCTCTGAAAACCAGTCCAAACCAGTTCCTCTGTGAATTTTGGGAAGTGACAGTTAGAGGAGATTAAACACTCTGAAAGAGAGTAGGTTCTTATAGTGGAGGTTTTCTTATCTTTGATACACACCTGGCTCACTCTTAACTAGCACTTCCTAACTTTGATGGCACTCACTGGCCTATAAATTTGTTTTCTTCCTTGCCAAACACACTTCATGTGTTTTGCACTAGAGGAAGTTCATCAGCACTCTATGTTCTTGCACCTTTGCAACAAAAAGACTTCTGGATAAGTATGGACAGGATAATCTTATTATGAATGTGCCTTCACAATATAGCCCAACAAATATAAAATGGCATTATTTGTTAATGTTAAGGCATACATTAAATTTTAGTTATTTTTAGACTGTGCGAACCACAGTGCTTCTGAGTGCTTCTATAATAAAACAGCGATAAAATATGTAGTTGGCAAATACAGTGTATATTATAAACATACATGTAAGTAAACAGACAAAAAAATAATGTTACCTTTTGGAGTTCGTTTTTCATGTCTCTCTGGTTTCGCTTTATGGATTTCTGAAAACAATGTAGAGTTTATTTGTCCATATCAAACTAATCTTAACACAGGAAAATATCAGACGCATTCTTTTAATAAAATTAGATAAGTGCTTCAAAATTATAGCACAGCCATGACTTTATTATATTCATATTTATAATTATATACAATAAAGTTAAATTATCAGTTATATCTACATATACATGCACACAGAATACACATGGACAAAAATCATAACAGTAAATGACTTGAATAATTATTCTGATTTAAATTAAGCAATATAACTGCTTTTCAAGTCAAGAACAGGTTTTGCTGACCTGCAGCTGCTATATGGTAACATATGTTGACTACGAATCAGAAAAAAAAAACACATGCTTTTACTAAGCATTTCTCCTGTATCTCTACTTGTTTGCCAGGATTAGTTTTTTATGTTCTCAGAATTACCTTTGGAAGGTAAATATTCTTTTTACTACATTTTCTAAATTTTTAAAGCTCAAAGGGTCAATTGGTAGCTCCAACACACAATAAAAATAGACTGAATGTTGGACAAAAATTACAAACAGATATAAAAGTTCCCAGGTTAGGGATTAGAGTCTCCGAGAATGACTGACTCATTTTAATCATGCTGTATACCAATAAATCCCTTAGCTAAGAACTGCCTTGTTAGAAGAGAAAGTGGTGCAGTATTTACATGCCCTTGCTATGCCACCTCCTCTTAAAAAAAAAAAAAAATCCTCACCTGTGACATAGATATTATGTTACTGCTATATACATTTATGTTTTTGTTTTTGTTTTTGTTTTTTTTCCTACTGTCCTAATTGTGTCAAAACCAGGATATTATAAAACAAATGACCACCACCAACAAAAACAGAATTAAATCAACCTTGCATAGCACTGCTTGCTTACAGTGGTAGAAATATACAGGCCATTACAGGTGCCCAATAAAGCCATTAAGACTCAACAGAGTCTCTGGCTGATTGGGCAATATACATATTTTCTTGCAGTGGAAAACTGGCATAAAATACTGGATCAAATATACCTTTGACAACAACACATACAATTCTGACCAGACCCTATTGGAGGTGCTACCCTGTATTTTAGTATCTTGGTCCGCATAATCTAAATTAAACAAGAACTCTGGCACCAAAATTAATCCAAGGGAGAAAAAAAAATAAATAGTGTATATTACATCTCAACTCAAAGGAGCTACTATAATGCCTTTTGAAGACGACTGAAATTTTCCATTTATGCCATTAGTTATCTGGTCCAGCTGTAACAGAATCTACATTGGCAAAGAGATACAATGGAAAATGGTATTTTCTCTTTCCAAGATTGATTTGTGCATAGTTCATTTGAAATAAATACAAGATATTTTTATTAGATAGTAGTAGCCATCTGAATCATAGCTGAATTAATGATTTTGCCTGCTTCACAAGAAACAACTATGCTATAACATCAGTCTATAGCCTTGAGAGAGAACATTACTTCATGGAGATAAAGGAAAACAAAGGAGAATATATGTATTACTGTTAGCTGTCTATGTATGGCAGCATAACTAAGCAAATTATATGATGTCAATGAGCCAAAAGGCCTTTTGTTCTATTTTCACCTTGTATTTCTCAGCCTGAGAGTGTAGTTCATTTATTGTTCTATAAGCCTCAAAGGTTATGATTAGGAAGAAATCATGCTGTATTGATTTACTGTATTTCACCTGAGCTTGTTTTTTTTTTTTTTTTTTTTTTTCCAACTACATGAGGATATTTTTTCCATCTATCAATCCAGTAACTGAATTCCCTCTTGTTCTGTTTAAAAGGATACACAAACTAGTACAAACTAGTTTTGGTAACTAGTTTAGGAATGGTTCAAGACAAAGATTATGTGCAGCTAGCTCTGAGCACATCTGAGCAGTTCTCCATACTGCTGTTCCAGACTGCCTCGGTGCATTTAAAGAAAGCTCTGTTACTTCCTTTGCATTGCGATATACAATGTAGACATATCTCACCCAGCTCAAAGTTCATCCTACATACAGATGTAATTATGTCCCACTGCCTGACGTATCAAATCCTACAGTGACACATATTCATAGAATGGCTTGGGTTGGAAGGGACCCTTAAAGATCATCGAGGCCAACCTCCTACCATGGGCAGGGACACCTTCCACTAGACCAGGCCCCATCCAGCCTGGCCTTGATCCTGGCCTATCTCCTAATAGGGGCATACACAATCTCTCTGGGCAACTTGTTCCAGTGCCTCACCACCTTCATTGTAAAAGATGTCTTTTTTACAATCTAAATCTACTGTCTTTCAGTTTAAAACATCTGCCCATTGTCCTCTCCTTGCTTGACTTAAGGTTACTCAACTCCACTGTGTTCCAACCAACCGTGTGTCTCACTACAAAAAATAGGCCCTTTTTTTTTTTAAAAAAAAAAAAAAAAAAAAAAAGTCTTTGCTAGAACTTCTGTGATTTTAGTGAATTTCTTATTGCTTCTTCAACTACCAAATATATATGGAAGAATGACTGTAGAACTGGCCATCTAAATTAGCCTAACATGGTATCAGTGATGGCACTTACTGACACAAACACTTCAGTAATGCACATAAAATGGTATTTTCTAGACAGCAACATTGAGAATGTCATCTAATTTTCTGCTACAATTAGGATACTGTACATTGCACAAAACTCTACAAAAATTCCTTGAAGTACAACTTCATAAAACATAAGTGTGTATATATGTATTTTTATGTATTGCAAAGTATGCCATCATTAGGATCTCTCCACAAACTCTGCATTATAGTTAGAACCATCACGAAATATTGCAGCCTGAAGGACATCAATTCTGATTCTTTATAACCTAAATTTTCCCAGCACAAATAAATCTAGTTTCAATATACGCTGATCTTGATCAATTTACAAGACAGAAAATACTGACTGTTAGCTAACTCAGAAATATTTAAAATAAGGAAACACATTAGATTACTCTATTGAGACTTTTTCTGTTCTGGGAGTTTTGATACTGCCTCATCCTTTATGACAAATAGCTTTAATTTTCTAGTAATCACATCATATCTTATTGCTGAGTTGACAAAGCAGCTATAATATCATAGAAGACTTACATGGCCAGTTTAAAGCATGTAATTTATCTCTATCAATGTGACACATTGTTAATAAATCCTAAATATTATGAATTCATGTTTAGAAAAATGACAGAATCAAGCAGCAGCTAGGATAATCTTTGTTACCACGGCAACCATCCTGATTCTTTATGAGAAGACAGCACAGTTTATTAAATTATTGCAAGGTAGTATGTATTTTAAAAGCTGTATACATTTTTTTTTGCCACTTATCAAGCAGACGTGAAAAATTATCTTTTCCCTTTTGTTTCTTGGGCTTTTAATAGATAAGTACTTTATTTCCTTAAATATGGATACTGCTTGACACCAATTTTTCTATACTTTGGGTGTTGAGTGCATACACAGAACATGCAGAGTGATTATTTTAAATAACTCCTGGAAGGGAAGTTAGTGGGCTTCTCACTGACCATTTCAAGATGCTAAAATGAGATAGAGCCAATATATCCTTACTAGGCAATTGGTGTGCTTTTGACCCAGAACAGGCCCACATGGACACTAAGGATCAGTGTTGAAGGCAGCTTTACTGAAAATCCTTGCTAAACACACAGTTTGGGTACGAGTTTTTCCTACCCTTCACCAAGATAATTCCCATTATCAGCACTTTGTGATGTCTAACAGCAGCCTGGCACTGACTATGCACTATAAAGACCCCGCTCTGTGAAGATCAAGGTTGGAGAAAGAGAAAAAGAATGCAACCCCCTGACCTAGCATAGCTCAGCTCTGTGCAGATTTACCTGAGCATGACTGAAGAGGCACCACCTCTTCTCCACTTCTCTGAAGAGGAACAGGGCAAGGAAATCTCTGTTTTCATCAACAGAGTTCACTTCTTCCTCTGTTTTTGTCTGCTCTCCTGTTGATTTTTTTGTTATCTCCTCTTTTTGTATTTGAACTGATGGAGTTTAATTTGAAATAATATATATATATATATTTTTTTTTCCAAACACATTTTACCACTTGGTCTTCTTTTCATATTCTCTTACAGGTAACACACTGATATACGTTTTTAGTGTTTTGACATTCTTTCATAAACATCTAAGTGTGAAAAGGAAAATGAGTCCTACTCACAATCATGTTGTACCAGAGGTTAATCATTTGCTTTTGAGCAGTCAAAACCCTTACAGCTATTCCAAGAAATTTAATGGGACTATATCCTTGATAGTTTATCAAGACTAATTGGTAGCAGGCAGCTGATTATCCTGAAGAGTTGGTGGAAATAGATACTGAGGGCAAGGCAAGAGTGAGTGGTGTTATGAGCTTTGTAAGATAAGAGGAACATCATTTCTAATATGTTTCTAGATGCTGTCTGTATGAAGAATTGTAATCCACTCTCCGGCTGCTGGTATCCTCAGGAGAAATTTGCAATTGCACAGCTGATGTCTATTTTTAATCTAGATAGTAGCAGCTGGTGAGGGTGACAGTTATCCTTATGGGGCTGGGAGGAGAATAAAAGAATTCATGCATAAGAGCAACTTCTAGATAATAGCTAATATGTCATGTAGCTGGAGTCTAGAGAAAAAAAAATGCAACAGAAGTAATGGGGAAAAACAATGAAAGAAGAGGTAATATTTAATTGAGGAAATAAAATGGTGTATTGTGCATGTATCTAGGAACCAAAGATAGTGTAATGTTACAGGAGAGTTTAGGGTTTAGGTAGTAACTTTCAGTGCTAGAAAGTCTGAGTGATGCATATGACTAATTTAGATGACTTCCTTAAAGCTTCCTAGTAGTGTAGTCATATCCCCTGTGTTTTCATAGATAAGTATTTTTCTCTGTTCTGAAAACTCATAGCAACAGGTTGGGGTACAGAGCAACTTTTCCTGAGGTTGTGAAAATGTGACAGGAGGTGATCTGTCTCTCATCAATGAAAACACCAAAGGGTTTGTGTTTGC